AACTAAAATCATTTTTCCACTGTTGAGATAAACATACGATTTTTTTTTCTTTTTAAAGCTGTTAGTGTGATGAATTATGTTAATAGATTTCTGTTGTTGAATTTTTTGTGTTCTTGAGTTAAACTCACTTGTAGGTTCACTATAATAGATGTCTTTATATGGCCTGTTGATGATTTCACTATAGTTTTTACTGTCTTAATAAATTAGTTATATTTTTTTTCTTACACTCTTACCATTAGACTTTGGGGGAGTTGTGGGGTGCTGTGTTTGTTTCTGTTCTTTGTTGTGGTTGAGGAGCATTTCTTCATTGTCTGTGTTCTAGAGTGTGTTGTATGAGATACATATTGTCTCCTCTCAGATCTGGTGAACTCAGTTATAAAAACATTTTGTTCTAATGTAATTAGTACTTTTTTGCTTGATTTTTGTGTGTGTGTGGTAAATATTTAACCAACCAGTTTTACTTCTGTTTTCAGTTTATGTGTATTCAGTTCTTTGTTTCTTTTAGTCAGTTTTTTTAGTCAGTTTTCTTTTAGTCAATTTGGTGATTATTTGATATTTGAATTTGGAGATACGAATGTATAGAATTCTCGTATGTTGTTCAAAACACCTGCCAAGTCTGTGTGCTCCTTTTTCATTCGTAATGTTGTTTATTTGTGCCTCTTTCCACTGGATGGATTTTGCCAGAGATCTGTCTGTATTTATTTATATGTTTTTTTCTGAGAACTGACTTCTGCTTTGGATTTTGATTTTGGCTTTCTTTTCAGTGTTATTTACATTTATTTTTGTTGGTTCCTTCTATCTACTTGCTTTGAATATACTTGTTTCTTCTTTTCTAATTTCTGGAATCAGATAATTCATTAACTTTCAGTCTTTTTAAACAAAAGTATGTAAGATATATTTTCTTCTAAATACTGCTTCATATGTACTTTGCTTATTGATGTTCAGTTTTAATTCTTTTAAAAACATTTTTTTTTTATCTGTTACTTGTGAATTATTAAAAGTGTATTTTTCAGTTCCTGGTTTGATGGATTTTGAGGGTCTTTCTATTGTGAGAGTCCAAAATCAAATGTAGTCAGATAATAAGGTCCATTGTATGGATTCCTTAAGTGTGTATTGGAATTTGCTTTATGCCCTACATACACATTGTCCTTCTCTATAAATGTTCTATGTGTGCTTTAAAAGCTGAGAATATATCCTCTATTTGTTGGATGCAGGTTCCTCTGTATGAATACATATATCCATTAGGTCAGGTTTGTGAATTGTGTTCACACCTTCTCTATTATTATGTTTTTCAGCTGTCAGTTACTCAGAAAAATGTGTTAAAATTTGTTGAGTTATACTGTTTTTCTCTCTGTGTTTTGGACCTATATCAGCAAGAGCATTCAGGTTCAGAAGTGTTACATCTTCCTGAAGAATTGCTTCTATTTTGTAATAATGTTCTGTATTCCTGAACGTATGTTTTGGCATAAGCTCTGTTTTTTCTTATGCTAATATAGCTATGCCAGAGTTCTCTTGATTCTTGTTTGTGTTTTGTTTTTTGCTGTATCTTCTCATCCTTTTACTTTGAACTTTTCTATGTCGTTATGTTTTAGGTATGTCTCTTGCAAACAGCATATTAGCTGGATTTTGTTATTTTACCCAGTGTGAGACTCTGTCTTTTATCTGGTGAGTCTTAAGTCTTTTTATATTTATTGTGGTAGCTGGCTTATGAATTTGTTTGTATCGTTCAGTTTTGTGCTGTTTACCATGTGTTTTCCCTCTACTTGTTCCCCCTTCATTGCTGATGAACATTAAATGAGTTATTCTTCTTCTCTTCCTTTTTCTTGACTGGAAGTTTAACATATCTATAATCATCACCTGTGATATGTCAACAAGCATATCTGACTTGACTAAAGTTAATCATTATTTCTGTTTTCTTTTTGAACAATACTTTGGAATGCTGAAACTCTTATCAGTATTCTCCAGTCCTACTCAATATTGTGACCTTGTATGTTGCTTTCATGTTGCTTGGATCCCCCCATTAATTATTGTCATCATCAATTCTTGCAGTAAATACACACACACACACACACACACACACACACACACACACACACACACACATACTCTTTGATTTTGAGTGTTGAGTAACTTCTCTATATTACCTCTTGAAGGTTTCTTTTTTTCCCCATGCTAGATGTGTTTGTTTGTTTTCCTTTCTTTCTGTCAGAAGTAAGAAATGGAAAATTTAGTCTTCTTTGGTCTACAAATACTTTTATTTCATTCTTGATTGGTAATTCTGCACCAAACATAACTTTGGTGATGCTATTCCATTTTTATTTGTCCTCTCATACCTGTTTACAAATATACTACTGTTACAAGTGTAATATAAGAGAAAAATATCTCCCAGCCTGTTAAATGTCTTATATATTATGTTCTCTACAAATTAAAGAATAAGATTAACAGGAATGAGATCTCTTACAACTTCTGAGAGCATAAGGGAGCCTGAATGGGTTGCCCAAGGACCCCACCTTACAGAGAAATTTTATAGAGCAGTACCCACATGGATACAGTGTAATTAATCACTAAGGATACAACTTAGTCTCACCTATGTAACAGTGATCCAGTGGAGAAGCAACTCAAGTAAATAGTGTGTGTGTAAAAATCAAAGACTTTGTAGGAAATGATGGATCCGGAGGTCTTGGTCACTCACTAGTGTGGCTGATGTCAGTCTAGGCTTCATTAGATCATGTTTGTCCTTTGAGGAAGTATATAGGCCTGGTCATCTCATCTTTACCTTAAGGCCTGGTCTCCAATAGATGTGTTTCATCTTTGTCCTTTGTCCTGGCTGTCTTAAGGGCTTAGCCCTATCTGACTGCCTATCATTTTTCTGCCTAGCTTAGCTGTCTGTAGTACTCTCAGTCTTATTGTTCCCTTTTAGTAATCAGTCTTTCTTCTCTTTTTTGCTTTAAGCTTCTGTTTTGGGATATTTTCCAGTTTCATTGGAAATATATCTAGGTAGAGGAAAGCTCATTACACTAGTGAATAGAACTTTTCAATCCCCCTTAGTTTCATATAAATCTTAGTTCTAACATTGCAAGATATGCATTCCTGGCTCTGCCTGTACTATTATTCAAGTGCCTTTCCTGTTCTTGTGAAGTAACCATCCCAGGGCAGCCACCATCTAGCTCTCAGTTCTCCCTTTGCTTATATCACTTGAAGATCTCTCTTATGAACTAAGCCATACATTAAAAATCTTATTTGCTATATTTTATCTAGCATTTTAAGGTGTTGGCTGAAGGATTTTCTCATTAGCCTACTCCACCATTTTTGTAGAATTAGAAGTCTAATGATAATCTTTATTGGTTTATTCCCACATGACAAAAGCAGAAAAAGGAATGATTTAGAAATTTTCTCTGCATTCTCTACTTCCCTCTGGGACCAGGAATAAAATGTGGTCTTCTCTTGGTGTCTGTAGGTATTAGTTTCAGGATACCAAAGCACACATACCCTAGAAGGGCCAGTACTAAAATCTGTAGATGCTCAAGTCTCCTACATAAAATAGCATATATTTCATATAACTTAATATGCATTCTTCCCTATGACTTTAAATCATTTCTAAGATATCTATAATATGTATTACAATATAAGTGCTATGTAAATTGTTGTTATACTATATCATTTAAGGAATAATGCAAGAAAAAATTCTGTACATATTCCCATACAGTTTTTTTCTATATACAATTGGTCAACTTTGCAGATGAGAAATATGTGAGTACAGAGTCAGCTATATTCATCCTCTTTGGCTAGACAAGAGAATTGAGAATGTTTTTTTAAGAATGGCACTGATTGAATATGTAATATAATTAGAAGTTTTTCTTCCCTGATCCTGGGTCCTTGGTTTAGCCAGAAATTTACTAAGGGTACTTAGTTTCTCCTGTATGTACCTGCCTGGCACATATTCTTCCATGTTACTTTAAATCATCTCAAGGTCACCTTTAATACCTCCTGTGTTCAGTCTCATCACTTAATGAGTTATAATTATAATACTTATTTAACCTTCTACAGTAGTCACAGTGTTCTCTTTTCCTCATATGATGATGGTAACTTAAAGTAGATCCCAAATATATTAAAACTTCTTAGCCTTTCACTCAAGATAGAGATCGTCCAGCCCTCTTTCTAATCTTATTTTTTTGTTATCATCTGACTCCATGTCACCTCTTCATTGTGACTTGTTTACTCATAGCTCCTTTTATTTATGCTTTATATGTCTTCCTAGGTCATATCTATTATTTCCTAATAAAATTCCTTATAAAAATTTTTCTCTGGTTTGAGTTATCTCCTTTATTCTTTCTTTCTTCTACCATATTATATAATTGTCTTCTGTTACCAAACATTTATGTTACTGTTTTTGTTCTCTGTTATATACTTTCATTAAAGTTGTCTTTTCCTCCCATTGACCTGTGAATCACTACTGTAGACTCTCATGACAAACCATAATTAGTAATCTATTTTACATCCTTTTCCCATAGAACTTAATACTGTCAAAATAGAACAGTAGGGACTGGGGATTTAGCTCAGCAGCATAAGCGTCGGCCTTGCAAGCAGGCAGTCATGAGTTCGATCCCTGGTACCGATAAAAAGGAAAAAGACAAAAAAATAAAAAAAATAAAACAGTAAAGTAGTAAGTAAATTCCCATTATTTCTTTGATTTGTCTAGTTTGGATCAATAAAATTTAAGAAACCAGGCATGGAGGGGCACACCTGTAATCCCAGGAAACAGAAGGCTGAGGCAGGAGGAATGCTACAAGGTCGAGGCCAGCCTGGGCTACATAAGCAAGTTCTAGGCCAGCCTGAACTGGACAGCAAGACACTGTCACCTCCATCCACCAAAAAATCTTAAGGAAACTGTTACCCATAAATCTTCATGTAATTCAATTTTAAGCTATGTGCTACTTGTTTGGAGTGCCTCAGAAACCAGAAGAATGTTTTTGAGTATGTTTTTTGTTTTATAATTATAGAAGCAGAAAAGATTGCACAAGTGGCCAAAATTCGGTTTCAGCAGAAGGTGATGGAGAAAGAAACTGAAAAGCGCATTTCTGAAATTGAAGGTACATTGTGCAGGCATGGGGGGGATCTGAGGATCCTGAACCACCACCACATCCCCACTTTGGGGACCAGCTCTTGATTATTTTGGGTGGGGAGTAATCTAGCATTCTGGTCTGGAAGAAGTAGCTAGCCTGATACTCTGGGCAGAATTTCTTTTAATGCTATTACATATCTAACTTTTGCTTTGGTTTGCAACTCTGGTAGCTCAGCTTTTCTTTCCTTAAATTGGAAGGTATTAACTAGTAAAGTATTAACTATTACTTTATTCTCAGACAGATAAAATATAAGAATTGTTTATAATCAGTTGCAAAGAATGTACAAAAGAGTAAACCCAACACCAACACCAACAGTTCCTTTTTTATCTGTCACCCACAACCAATTAGCTGGGAAAAAAGCAGCCCCAGTTTTCAAGGAAATTCTCAAAACTCCTTGAGTCCCATAACAACATGTTAATGTTCTGAGCTCACAGTCTTGAGGACACTTTCACTCATAGACAGCTGCTTCCTATTGTTCTGTTAAACGACTCTGGATCGAATTTGAATTAGTTTGGGACAGAGAGATTGGTGGGCTTACTGACTTTACTTGAAGCCTGGATGGATGTGTTAGGTGATGGGAGATAGAAAAAGGAAGCACAAAAAAGAGTAGGAATAAGGGGGCTCAGATGTTGTGTTACTCAACAGAGACAGAAGTATTGCTCCTTCATAAAGAGTTGTCAGGGGACTAGGATTTGAAAGCTGCTAATCTTACAAATTTAAGGTAAGCATAAGCCAGGCATGGTGGCTCACGCCTGTAATTTCAGCACTAGGGAGGCTGAGATGGGAGGATCGTTTCCAGTTCGAGGCCAGCCTGAGCTACAAAGTGAGCTCAAGGCCAGCCTGAACTGCATAGCGAGACCCCATCTCAAAAAAGACAAAAAAAAAAAAAAAAGTAAAAGTAAGCATTTGAAATATTAAATACTCTCCCAACTGAGGGAATGTATTAGTAATGTACCTTTGTTTTAAACTATGCTTTATTTGCTAGATGCTGCCTTTTTGGCACGAGAGAAGGCAAAAGCAGATGCTGAGTATTACGCTGCACACAAATATGCCACCTCAAACAAAGTAAGTGGTTCTCTGTGCCACTTTCCTAGCAGTGAGTGTTTTCTTTTTTTTAGGAGCTCAAATAGGTTAGAGATGATTTTATCTGGTGGTTGGAAAAGAGTTGAAACCAACCCATTCTGTAGAACCAGCCAGTTGCTTAGCAAGACTTACTGCATATTGACTGAATAGTTCCTTGTAAGTGGGGAGCGAGGGCACAACCAAATATAAACCAGATCAGTTACTGTAAATCCATGCGTTTGGTGATCCAGGGACCCAGTACTCTGTAATACTGAAGATCTCCAGCACAGTGACAAGGAATAGTGAAGCCAAAGTTATTTAAAATTGCTTTCCAGACAAGATAGCTTTTTGGGGGTGTAGCTAAGTTTGTCCAGAGCAGTATTTCTTACCGGACATATTCTTGGCATTTGGGGGTAGGATGCTCTTTTCATTGTTGAAGCCTCTTAGACATTGGGAGATATTTTGCAGCCTTGACCCTGGCCTGCTAAATATATGTCATGCTCACTAGTTGTTTTAACAGTCACATCCAGATGCTAACTTTTGTTGGATTTTAAAAATTGTTGCAGTTTAATGTGTGATAACCTGATTCAAAGTGAGTGACACATGAGTAAATTTTTTTTTTTTTTTTTTACTGGTACCAGGGATCGAACTCACGACTGCGCACTTGCAAGGCAGGCACTTATGCCACTGAGCTAAATCCCCATCCCTGAATAAATAATTTTTGTAGAAGGACTAGGAAAAGTTAAACAGAGAATAAGGTTTTTAAGAAGGAATTATTTAATGTACAGGCACCTATAATAACCCTTATAGGATTCAGAGACGGGAAAGATATGTCCAGGATTTATAAGGTTATTAATTATAGGTAAAACATTGAGAAACACAGTGGTTTTAAATCAGATACCAACCGATATTTAAAAAGCTTTAAGAGTTGATTTAGTTGTGCACCCTGACCAGATTTGATTGCAGTGTTTCTACAGAGGTTATTAATCAGCTGCACAGGGTAAAGACCCAGAGTGCAGAGATGTCAGAGTGCAAAGAATAGGTGCTGTTGGCTGTGAAGGACAAGAAGGGCTTTTAACAGAAGACAAGCTGAGACCCAAGATACAGGAGAAGATTACTAAAGAAGACTTTGAGTCTTTGGAGATATATATTCTGGGGAACAGAGGAATTAAATTTTAATTAAACCCAGAAAGATTCTGGTTGGATATATCCTGGTACCATGTTCTAAGCAAAACAAAACACTGACAGGGAAGGAGATCTGTGGTCATCACGCATCTGGTTTATCAATTACAAAAACAATTTTAAAAACCAGCTTCCTGATAAAAGTGAGATACGAATCAAGTGACTTCTTGAGATTTTCCAATTCTAGAATTTGGTCAATAAAGGTAGAATCACAGGCAGCTGGCTATGAGCCCAGGCCTTTCCCTAAGGTTCTAAAGTCTCATCTACTGTACTGTGTACCTCTCAAGAGAATCAGCTAAAATTCCAGATCAATTTCAGCTTGGATTCAGCTACATGAAATAAGTGTATACAAAAGTACTTTAGATTGCTTAAGTCACTCTATAAATATTATCACTCATTATTTGTTCCCCCATTATATTAAAAAGTGAACCAATAAATTGTTTCCCACATTTAGATGAGAGCTTATAAAAGGAATTCTAAGTCAAATGCTTAATGTTAAAGTGATAACCATACTCTGCAGGGAGTGAGGATCATGGCAGCCATTCAGAACTGAGTCATGATACTAAGGAAATCAATGTGGGGGGGGGGATGACTATTGCACCAAAATATCCTGATGCCTTTGCTCTTGTTTGCACCCACACAGCACAAATTGACCCCGGAATATCTGGAGCTCAAAAAGTACCAGGCCATTGCTTCTAACAGTAAGATCTACTTTGGAAACAATATCCCTAGCATGTTCATGGACTCATCTTGTGCTTTGAAATATTCAGATGTTAAGACTGGACGAGAAAACTCTCTGCCCTCTAAGGAGGCTCTTGAACCCTCTGGAGATAACCTCATCCAAAACAAGAAGAGCACAGGTTGATGCAAGAGATGGAAATGTTCTCCCGTATCAAGATGTGGCCCAAGGCACTTAAGTGGGAACGATGATTACATGGACTCTTCAGATTTCAGAGAATTTGCACTCTTGTCTGTTCTGGCTTTCTTGTGATAGTCCTGGTTTATCAGCTGATCACAGGATGGAGCCAGCTGTCTGGCACTCAAATGATCTTTTCAGCCAGTTTTATCAAGTATGCTGTATGTGTTCTTTTTTAAACTGGTACTCGTAAATGAGAGAAAGTTTATGCTAAGATACTGCCTGCACTGGAATGTTAAACACTAAATATATAACAAGCTGTGTTTTTCTAAGCTGAGATCTATTGAATAATGTTTACATTGGTCCCAGGGGACATGTGTGTTCAGCCATTCAAGAGATAGGATGACAGAGAAGACTGCCAGGCCATGGTAAGTTAAAGAAGACTGGTGGCACTTGGGACTCTCTGAAGTCCAGTCTCAGTGTTCATTCATGTGATTGACATCTAGGTCACTGAGGTTCCCCAGGAAATGATCTTCCACTTGAGCAACCATTTACTTGATATAATTTGTACCATTGTTTTCCTATAGTCAGGTTTGTGGCCTACACAGACTTGTGCTTTGCCACCCCACCAGAGATTCCCTAAATCAAATTCTTAATCATTAGTTTATTGCGTTAGTAGGACCAGAGATGAATAGAGCTTGCTTTAAAGTTTTGAGCAGGATAAAACCTTTGTAGAAGCCCTGCAGTCCTCTCAGTTGGGTGATGATTGTCAGTGTTGCTGCCCCAGACCATGTGTGACTAGGTACTATATCTGGTTTTTAGCCACAGGCAGCTTCTGTGGCACCTCAGCTCTGGCTGCCCAAGAGTGGAACAAGGCTGTAACCAAATTTAGCAGTGTCCAGTACCTAACCACTCACTGCATAGTGTTATATAATAATTGCAGGAAGTTTTTGTTTTTAAAACTGGATTTGGGGTACATTCATTTGCCCCGCCCCCAGCACTTCTATATAAAAAGGCCAACTCCTAGAGCTGCCAGTGGTTTCTAGTACACTTACCACATTGATTCTGTTTGATATTGTTCACCAGTATGAGCAGTAGTAATCTAGAAACCATCCTTAATCATCTTTGTATCCTTCTCTCCTAGCCATAGGTTGCTAAAATTAAAAAGTTTTTCAGACTTTCACCTTCAGTAGGAGATCACATTCCATTGCCTTTCTGGCCAACCAGTGAATTTAATTTTCCAAGAGAACATGACAGAGTTAACCTGTGGCTGTAGGAGATCTACTTCATCTGGACTTTTTTTTTCAGATTAACTTTCCTGGAACATTTGCTGCGTATTAGGCCTGAATTTGTGCAGCTTGTGGATACCACTATGTACACTTCTGTTGAAGCCGGACAGAAAAGTCATGGGACCACTTCCATAAATCTCCCGGCAGGCTGTCTCATGACAGCTAATGGGTTGTGCCAAACACTTTATTTGGGAAAGGAAAGCCCAGAATTGAAAGGGACTTTTCCCTGGGCCTTAGGCATTTGTGTGTAATATGGAGAAAATTTCATTTTTTCTCATTTACTTTTATAAATTCTCTTTTGAATGAATTGTGACCATTAGTCCTCCTTAAAAGACCTTTTGAATTATAGAAATAAACTCTTGTATTGTTGCTGCAGATAAATGATTGTTGTGGGAAATCTGGATCATTGACCTTTGTGCTTTCATTTCTAGAGATGTTTCCTATTCCCCTAAGTAAAGAGCTATTGCCCCAAAGTGATGGCTGTGGATTTTTCTACCATCCACAAGCCCTGGTGGCAGGGTTAACGAACAGGGAAGTGTCATTGTGAAGTTTTAAAGAAAGCACTTCCACTTAAACGCTCTAGCATGAGCTTCCCTGTGCCCACTCAGTGAGCTCTGTCTCACTGTCCTTCAGGGATGTTCCTTTTGACGAATACATACTGTAATCTTAAAGCCTAAATTTTTATGTGAAATGATACCTTTTTTAAAAATAAGAAATTAAATAAAATTATTTTAATACCAGTGACTACATGTGTATATTTTGTTTTCCCCCTATGTCTTCACATTATTTTCTGGCTTGTTAACATACTCCTAAAGTTGTCTTACCCATTTTAACTAGATGGCCAGTTTATTTGCCAGTTGACTCTGTAAGAGTTCGTACTTCTTTCCAGGATATTGCATACCTGGAATAAAAATTTTTAAAATGGCTTTTCTGTACTTTTTTTGACATCTTGAATTTAACAAAGGATGTTCTGATTATGGGACAGGGCCAGCAGCAGAGGTGTAATGAGAGTAGAAGAGTGTACCTGTTAGGCCTTAATTTGTGCCAGAAGCTTGTATCTAGATGTCCTCCCAAAGCCTCACGCAGTCATAGTTGGGGCTTTTCAGAGGGGGCTTCATCTAGAATGTGATGCTCAGATTAAGTGATGCTGGGATCAAGGATGTGTGATTACTAAATTAGTCCACTGATTGTAGTTCTGGGTGTACATAATGAGAAAGCCCACCTGGGTATGAGTACTACCTGCCCTAAGAACATGTAGTTTGGATAGAATATGAGGGACCGAAAGAGGACTGCTATCATCCCTTGCTACTGTTTCACTGCTCTGGTTCTTTGCTGCATTCTTCCTAAAATGAACTGTTTCTCCTCTGTGATGCTCCTCTGCCATGCCTTTCTGACTTCGAGCCAGTCAACTGTAAAATGAGACTTGTACAAACTGAGTTAAATAAACCTTTTCTTCTTTAACTTTAGATGTTGGGCATCTCATGTCAGCAAAAAGAAAAATGTAAGAATGCCCCTTTGGAGCCTTTCTTGAAAACTAATATACTTAAGGAAGGAAGGAGACACACTGAGGAAGAGGGAATATAACATAAATTATAACTGGCCAGTGATGTGATACAACAGATTTCACTAATTCAGATGTTATAGGCTCACAAGTCAGGATTGGACCTGGGTTCTCCTGGGAAACATTCCCCTCCTGGGGACAATTTCAGCAGTAATTGGGAGTTTTGGGAAGAGGAGCAGTTTCACAGATTCTAACTGGGATCTACTGAAGTGTTCCTTGTTAGCCACTGTAAACTAGGAAACTTAACTTTTAACTAACTCAAAACTCCTTATTCTGGAGGCTTTTGGTAAGCATTCAGATGAGGTGATTTTTGCCCTAGCGGTTAAGAAAGTACTTTGTAATTTAGAAGTTGTGGCATCTTATTGCTTTGGGATTAGGTTCCAGATACATTCATTGGAAGATCTTCTCTAAGACCCTTGGGTATACTTTTTCTTTCTTTGTATTTAATGTTCTACCTAACTGGCTTAATCTACTTAGCTTATAACACACACTTCCCTTTTTAACTAATAATGAGTCATTTCTTTAAGGAGGCCACCCTGAACTGCATGCTCAAGTTAGTATCTTGTTTGCACATCTGTTAGTGCTCTTCGCTCTCATTACCTGCCTAATGTCTTTTTTTTTTTTTTTTTTTTTTTTTGTCTTTTTCCTTTTTTATCAGTACCAAGGATCGAACTCACGACCACACACTTGCAAGGCAGGCACTTATGCCACTGAGCTAAATCCCCAGCCCCTTGCCTAATGTCTTTTAACACCAACTCAGCTTTATGAGGACAGAGACTGTGACTATGTTGTTGATTGAGGATTGAATCTTTTGTTAAAACCTGAGGTGGTACTTGGCCAAAATATTAATCACTTTTGCACTGCTAAGATTAAATACCCTTCACCTACAATTTAAAGGAGGAAAGGTTTGTTTTGGCTAATAGTTCTAAGGGATTCATCCTGGTTAAATGGTTCCGAGGCAGAAACAACATGGTAAAAGAACATGGCAGAGGAAAACCGCTCACACCATGGCATCCAGGAACAGAAATAAAGGAGAAGTGGGAGGAAAGTACCCTACTGATCTCACACTCAGTGACCCACCTCTTTCAACCAAACCCTTGCCTTCAGGCACACTGAGCCATGAACCTGTCAGTGAATTAATCCAGTATTCCATGAGCCAGTCATCTTTTAAAAGCCCCATCTCTGAACATGAAACTTTTTAAGAAACATAAGTCTAAGCTATAACATTCCACCCTAGTCCTCATGTTCATCTCATGCAAAATGCATTGAGTTCATCTTTGAAGAGTTGCCAAAGTCTTAATAGCTGGGCATTACTAAAGTCCAAGTCCAACGTCTCCCCTGAGACTCAAGGCAAACTCCTACCTGTGAGCCCCTGTAAAAACCAGAAAGTTGAGTACTTCCGTAATACAATGGCAGTGTAAACATTCCCATTCTGAAAAGGAAAGTGAGGACAGAAAGGAACTGAACCAAATCAAGACTGAAAGCTAGCAAATGTTAAATTGTATATCACATGGCCATTGGCAGCACACGGGACATATTGTGGCAAGATGTGGCTTCCAAAGGCTTGGACAGCTTCCTGCTACTTTTCTCAACAGTTTCCATTCCTGCCATCTCCAGCTTTGTCCACTGCACTTTCTGTTTCACTCTCACAGCTTCACATACTGTTCTTTCAGGAACATACTGTCTGGCCTCCTCAGCCACCTTCTGAAATCTGAGTGGAAGCCTCCATGACTTCACAACTCTTGCATTCTGCATGTTTGAAAAACTAGCGCCACATGGATGACACTAAGGTTTTCTGCCAATGGGAGCAGTGACAGGTCCCCTTTGAACTGTGGCTGCCAGAAGCCTGACCATTGCTGAACTCTGGGAAACACTTTCCTAAATTACACTGAATGGGCCAGGCTCCTTGGAGCTCTCTTCTCAAAACAATCTGTCAAAGTTGGTTAGCTTTTTACATCCTTGAGCTTGTGAAAAGTGGCAAATTTGTAAGATGACTTCTAGCCATCTTTCTACTGTCCTGATGCAAAACAGTTGGCTTCTTTTTAATGTTAACCTTTTCACCAAATATCTTTACCCCAACTTTGCAGGTGCTTCCTTATGCAAGTTTTTCAGATCATCCAGCTCTGCTTTATGTTCCTGACACTTAACTGTAGAGTCTCTAAAAGCAGATACCAGTATCCACAGCACAGCCTGAACACTGAGCTGTCTTGAAATTTTCTCCACTAGATCAGTTTTAGTTTACAGTAGAGTCCTTGTTTCCATCTGAAACCTCCTGAGCCTGAGTTTTTAGCATCCACATTTCTGTCAGCATTCTGGTCATCTGAGCTTTGATCAGAACTGCCTATCAAGGTCACTTCCTTACTGGAGTATTTTAAGGTTTCTCTGTATGGCATTTCCAGACCTTTTCAGACTTCTCCCAGAAACCTGTTCCAAAGGCTTTAAAAACACATAGATATGGTTACAGCAACAACCAAAGTTTTGAAAACTGGAATGAAGATCATCCTTATTAAGTCCTCAAGAATTCAACTGAATTATATCCATGCCAAAGTTTATGGGACACAGAATTTAAGAGGGATAAACTAGAATTGAGGGTAGGAGCAAGCACATAACTAGCACTGAGCCACATGCCCCAGCCCTAGTGAGAGAAATTTCAAGGGAAAATACTAAAACAGCTGCATGGCTTCTTTTAACTGCATATAGTAAAATGCAAGAGACAATAATTTAAAGATACAGCTGCAAAAGGGAACAGAAGTTAATGATTTGAATTTTCACCCTGGTCCTGTAAAGAATGAAAAATGAGAGAAAACCAAGAATGCAATCAACCAATCATTTCCTGAAGAAATTAGTATGGATAGAAGAAAGGCAGAAAGGTCCCTGATTTTGTACTCCACCCTTGATAACTGTGAGCCAGTATACATCCTTAAAAATTTCCCAGTTGCAGATATGTTACTCTTCATTGCTGAGACAAAATACCCAACACCCAAAGTTAAAGAGTTTGACTCACAGTTTGTAGAGGTTTTAGTGCATAGCTGGGGGCTCAAAGGCTGGGTGGCATGACAGAATTGCATCACAGTGATATGAGCAGAAGGCAGTAAAGCAGTGAAATAATAAAGTAGCAGAAACTCTCTTTTATTCCTTCCAGGGTACCTGTTCTTTGGGTGCCCTTTGCCACCCACACCCAAAGTGGACCTTCCCACTATCCACACCCAGAACAATGCCAACCCAATCTTTGGACACATGTAATAATCACATACCTTTGATCACACACTTGTTCCCACCAAGATAATTCCAGATCTAGCCACTTCTGAAAAGCCCCACCTACAACTGCATGAGGCTTTAGAGGACATACACAAACCATAACACTATAGCACAAAAGGGACTAAGAAACCCTATTTCAAGTACTTGTTTTTCCCTATTATCTTTTTATTTTATTGTCTTTTTGAGACAGTTTCACTATACAGTTCAAGTTGACCTTGAACTCACTTTGTAGGAAGGCTCACCTACAATTCTATTTTAGTGATCCTCCTGCTTCAGACTCCCTAGTGCTCCTGAATTGCAACCATGTGCCATCATGCCCAGCTCCTATTATTTTTTAACCCACTTTTCTACATTCTTATTTCTGTTTTTATCTTCAGTAATATTTCTTCCTATAAGTACTAATTGAACCCAAGGGTGTGTCAGTTGCTAAGGCAGATAGCATTGCTGGTGTGGTGAGGAGATACAGCAAATCAATAGACGAGTGTAATTATGGTAAGTATCAGAGGAGGGTAGACACTGGGTGCTGTGGGGTACCAGTCAGAATCAGTCCAACCTAGTGGTTTCTGAGAAGCAGTGTCTGTTCTAATTATGAAAGAGTGATAGCAAACAGCCAGCTTCCTGAGGAGGTCATTGGTAATGGCAGAAGATTTTTGAGCCAGTGGGACAGTCACATGCTGTTGCATTTTAAAAGGCAATTCACTGGATTCTTTTACCTTAGTGTTATCTGTGACTACCTTTGCATTGCAAGGCCTTACGTAATAATACTTCCTATTTACTGAGAATTACACAGGTCCTTATCTATAGGCATTTTGAGTTCTCACAATAACCTTTTGAGGCTGAAATTTTATTTTATAGCTGGAATTTAAAGAGATTACTCCAAATTGTATGGTTAGTGATAAACAGAGTAAGAGTTTGAACTAATCAGATTCCCAATCCAAGCTCTTTGCCATAGTCTTTACATTGTCCCTTGAAGCAACTATGATTAGGATGATGGAAACTAAATTTAGGGAAGATTTTAGAGGCCATATGACCTAAGTAGAGGTTAGCAAAAGGGTAAGTAGATGGCTAATGTAAAGTAATGACCCATAGGATGACCTTCTCTGCCCTCTTTAGAGCTTGGAAGAAGTCTGTGAGCTGGGCAATATGAAACCTATTTCCAGAAAGATCAACCATTTGGAGCTTGGAGGGACAACTCTCCTTACTGTTACATGAAGCAAGTGGTGCTGCATAGCCTGAGGGTGGACAATGTAGCAGGTGTGTGATACCACCCTTTTCAGGTAAGAAGCACTCATTCTCCCAGGTGCTAAACTGGTTCCACTGATAGGTTTCAGCCAAGTCCCTCTGTCCATTTCCCTTGGCTGCACAAATCCCCCTTCCCTACGGGCACATCCTCTTTTAAGATGACCCACATTCAGTAAGTGGTTGATACACAAACAGAAGGACTGGAAGACTTAATTGAACCACATAATTTGTGCAAAAGAACAGTTTTTTGCATTGATTTTCTCCATTTACAAGTATACCAGTGTTTTCATCTTAATAGGTACAATAATCATAATTGGAATTTAGACATACAAGGAAAATTCTGGCAAACCAGGTATTTCTATTTCTTCTGATTTCCTATCACTTCTGCTCTACCTCTCCTTCTTACTGTGAATTCCAGCTGTGACTGTCATGGTCAGTTTCAGGTAGACATGAACTTATTTTCCCATCATCGTATCTCATTTTATGCATACAATTCACAGGGTTCTCCAGCACTGTGGAAATTGCAGTCAGCCTATCCATGCACTCAGACCACATAGGCACAAGAATTAATACCACCTGCCATGCACAACCGTTACCCAGTGGGAGAGGGGAATACAAAAATCCAGAGAGGAAGTAACCCCAAGAACTTTCAGCTGAGACACCAACCCTGCTGACACCACAGTGGAAACAGTGAACATTTAATTAAGTTTCAGCAGATGGTTTTTGAGTCCCTGCTGTGTGCCCGGAAGCCTAAAACATGTAACCATGGACCAGTCTAAAACATGTAATTGTGGACCAGCAGTGAACCATATAACAGTAAGATAGGCATAGTCTGTGCTCTCTTAGACTTAGTAGTCTCATGGAAAGACATACTTTAATTTTGTTTTGTCTTTTTTATCGATACCCGGGATCAAACTCGCGACCACACACTTGCAAGGCAGGCGCTTATGCCGCTGAGCTAAATCCCCAGCCCCTAAAGACATACTTTAACTTTTAAAAATTCCAAATATAGTAAGACTATCTGATAGGAATTAGTTGCTATCTTTCAGATTTCAATGGTGTCTGAGTTTCAGTGGTCTAATTTCTAGTTGCGTTACTATAAATAGTCTTTTCTTTTTTAATACATGGGTTTATTTGTGCAGAGATAGTGTTCACCTCTGCAGATATTCAATTTAAGTGGTTTGGACCCTGTCACCCTTGAACCACCAAAGCCTACATGCAAGGCCAAGTGATCCACCCAGCCTAGCAGCCATTGCCACTTGAAAAGAGAGGTTGTTTTAAATGTAAATAAAATCAGATAACATTTTCCAACTACTGACTTAATAAACATTTTCTTAGCCAAGTGTGGTGAGACATGCCTATAATCCCAGCACTCAGGAGACCAAGGCAAAAATTCACTGTGAGTTCAAGGCCAGCCTGGGCTACCTATTACATAGTGAGACCCTGGCTCAAAATTAAATTAAATTAAATTTAAAAATATATATATATATAACTATCATCATTTTGAGAATTGTTCTAACATCCCAAACAGAATTCTGTACCTATTAAACAGTAACTCCTCACTTTCTCCTCCCTCAACTATTAGTACCCTATTTTGCTTTTTGTGTGTGTTAATCTATTTGAATAGCTTATACAAGTTGAATTACACAATATTTGTTCTTTTATGGGGGCTTATTTCCAAGAACACTGTGTCTTCAGGTTTCGTCATATTGAGCCACATACTAAAATTTCATCACTTCTTAAAATGAATAACATTTGTTGTATGTATATACTACATTTTTTGTTCATTCATCTGTTGATTGACATGGAAATTTTAATTGATAAGAAACATGATGAAAATAATGCCACTGCTTTTCCAAATCAGATCTCAGAGCATGTGATCTATTTGTTTAAATGTGTGAGTTGAACTTCAAATGTTTTTTAAAAGCTATGAAAAATAAAATGCAGCTTTTTTTTTGGACTGAGAAGTGTATGCAGTAGAGATGCTTAGAAAATCAACTAGATGAAGATGCAGATTTTCTGAGTAAGAGATTCACTTCTTGATCTCAAGCTACAGCCATATAAACAAACCTATGCCAGTCTACTCTGAGTCCAAAGTTCTGACCAGCCTTCATCCAACAGAGCACACTTTGGCACAAGCGTTGTTTTCCTGCCAACAACTGCAGAAGTTGCTAATATCCAGTTGCTGAAATGGAGCTTCTGGGAGTTACTACTCTTGCTCTTGTCATTTCTGTCACTTGCCTGATTTTCATATTTTTGTGGACAAAAGGTCAGAAAGCAGTAAGGCTACCCCCTGGCCCAACTCCACTCCCTGTTATTGGAAACATCCTGCAGCTGAACCTCAAGGATGTTCCTGCATCTCTCTCCAAGGTAAGCGGCTTTGATTCTGAGGCTGTTCACCTGCGTTTCAGACCACCAGGCTGGCTGTCTCCAGATGGTCTTTCTTAGTGTTGCTCACCACATAAGCAGTTTGGGATGTTTATTTTTGTACTACCAAAAGTACATCTAGTCATCTTCCTTTTGAGACTGGATAGCTTTCGAGAGGGTGGTGAAAAGCATAAACTAGACTTGAGTTATCAGTTGAATTCTAATGAATTAGAAAACTTTACAATCAGAATATAGACTTTGAGTCTCTCCAGCATGTAACACCAAAAGGCAAGCTTGTAAAATGTAAAATGTATTGTCATTGTTACAGCTTTAATTATTATTAAATCTTCCATGTGTTATTACCATTATTTCTCATTTAATTGTTTATGGATGCTTCTTGTAAAGAGTGATCCTGATTGTCCTCCTCAATATCCTGCTCTAGTTAGTGAAGGCCAACTCTACTATCCTGGCTATATTCATACTTTTGGGTGAACTATTTGAGGAAAAAATATTGTCTGCAGGAGTTCAGTACACAAAATCATTCTTTAGGATAAAGAAACAATACAAGAGGTTTCTCTGATTATAAATCTTAGCATTAAATAATTCATTTGAGCCAAGGGTTCAGCTCAGAAGCATGCGCACCAGCCTGGCAAGCGTGAGGTCATGAGTTCAATCCCTGGTACCAAAAAAAAATTCATTTGATAAATAATGAATGAGTCCATGCTTCAGGAAAAATATATTTTAGAGTCTGGGAATACTGTCGTAGATGAAAGAGTTTGAAAAAAGCCCAGCCCTTCAAAAATCAGGGTAGTCAGATAAAAAACAAAAATAATCAGTAATGTACACATATATACTATGTCATACCTTAGCATTATAAATGCTGTGGGAAGGGCTGGGGATTTAGCTCAGCAGCATAAGCACCTGCCTTGCAGGCATGTGGTCATTCATTCGATCCCCGGTACCGATAAAAAAAAAAATAAAATAAATGCTGTGGGAAAAATAATGCAAGGAAGGCCAAAAGAAGGACATTTTCTATGGTAGCCATTGTTGATTTCCTGTTACCTTGTTTTGAACTGATGTATCACTTTCACAGTTTTGTTTTGATTGGCTTTATTCTGTTTTATTTTGTTGGGTTTTATTCTCTTTAAAATAAAAAAATAAAGAAATTTTTTAAAAGACATTTATTTTTAGAGCCTTTATTTTCATAACAAAATTGAGCAGAAAATACAGAGAATTGTCATATAACCCTTAACCCCATGCATGCATGGGACATTCCATGAGAGTGGAATATTTGTTACAGTAGTTCGACCTTTATTGTTACGCGTAGGTTCTGTAGTTTCAGGAGAGTATGTTCTTGGTGGTATACATTCTGTGGACTTGGACAAGTGTATAACGATGTGTATTCACTGTTAAAATATTGGAATCATCTCACAACTCTTAAAATCCTCTGTGCTTTGCCTACTCATTGCTCCCTTTTTTCCAATCTTTGGCAAGCACTAATCTTTTCTGTTTCCATAGTGCTATCTTTTCTGAAGTGAGATGTAGGCTAATTTTTTCAGGTTGATTCTTTTACGTACTAGGCATTTAGGTTTCCTCAATGTCTTTTGACTTCGGCATTAATTCTTTTGGGCATCGAATACTATTCCACTATTTGCATGTAGTAATTCATCCCCTTCAGCTACCGAAGGACATCTTGGTTGCTTCTAAGCTTTGAAAACTATAGATAAAACCAGTAAACACATCCGTGTCCAGGTTTTTGTGTGGACAGAAGTTTTCAACTCTTTCTGGATATGAAGTATAAAAGTTGAATTGTTGTATGCTTAGTTTTGTAAGAAACTGATGAACTGTCTTCAAAAGTGACTGCACTTTTTTTTGCATTTCTACCAAAAGTGAATGAGAGTTTCTGTTACTCCGCATCCTCACCAACATAACCATTCTTATAGATCTAAAGTTGTATTTTGTTGTTTTAAGTATCATTAATTCCCTAATCATACATGAAGTACAGAACATTTTCATCTTTACTTACCATCTATGTATTTGTTTTGGCAAGATGTCTTTTTAGGTCTGTGGCTCATTTTTTAAATCAGGTTGTTTATTTTCTTACCAAGGTTTAAGAGTTTTTTTTAACATATTTTGAATCATAGTTTGTTTTAGAAAATATGTTTTTCACAAATACTTGCTCCCAGATCATGGGGTATCCTCTCATTCTCTTTACAGTGTTTATTTATGTATTTATTTTTGTTTTTTTGAGACAGGGTCTGTCTTAAGTAGTTCAGGATGGCCTTGAACTCACTATATAGCACAGGTTGGCCTTGAACTCTCAGCAGTCTTCCTGACTCAGCCTTCTGAGTGCTGGGATTACAACCATGTACCCCATACCTAGCTTTTACACAGCAGAATTTTATTTTTGTTTTGTTTTGTTTTTTTCAGACAGGGTCTGTCCATAGTTCAGACTGACCTTCAACTCACTACATGGCCCCGGCTGTACTCAGATTCATGATGATCATCCTGCCTCAGCCTCCCAAGTGCTGAGATTATAGGTGTAAACTATTACATCTGCCTCAGAAATGTTTTAATTTTAGTGAAATTTAGCCTTTTTTCCTTTCATGGCTTACTCTTTTGATATTTCTAAAAAGTTATGCCATATACAGGGGCATCTAGATTTCTCCCATTGTTTTCTAGGAGTTTTTAAATATAAAGCTTAATTATAACATGCACTCTACTCTGGTGGGATGTCCTATATACATGAGTAGGGGTAAAGGTTATATGACAGTTTTCTGCTCAATTTTGTTGTGAAAATAAATGCTCTAAAAAGTAAAGTCTTTTTAGAAAATGTCCTTCTTTTGCCTTTCCTCACATTATTTTTACCATAGCATTTATAATACTAAGATATGACATAGTATATAATATATGTATGCATTACTGATATGCTTTAGTTTTTATCTGACTACCCTGCTCTTTGAAAGAACAGGGCTTTTTTCTGTCTCTTATTCATTGCAGTGTTCCCAGACTCTAAAAACCATTTTTCCTGAAGAAGGGATTCATTAAATATTTATCAAATGTAAATGTTTTAAGTGTAAAGTTTGAATTTTACAGTTAAGTCTGTGGTCTATTTTGAGTTAATATTTCTGTGAAGTTAATGTGTAGATTAGGGGTTGGGACATGTAGATGTCCAGTTATTCTACCATCATTTATTGAAAAACCTCTCCATTGCTTGCTTCTGCTCCTTTGCCAAAGATTAATTGATTTTATTCATATGGGTCTGTTTGGTGGTGTCTGTTGTACTTATCTTTCCATCCTCTTGCTAGTACCACTTGTTTTTCCTACAAATGTCTGAGTTAGGAAGAGAAAGCTGCCCATCTGTAGTGGTCCTGGCAATGACTGTCAAAGGCTGACCTTGGCCTCCAGGCCTGAAAAGAGAACAGGCCCCCTACTCCCATGGGAAAAGAACTCTTCTGTACCTTCCTAGGAAGTTGAAGTAACGTAGTGTTAGCCCCCCAGCTTCGTTCTCCTTCTGTATTAATATACTGTAGCTTTTGTTTGTTCATAGAAACTTTTAAAATCAGTTTCTTAACATTTATAAAATAATTTGCTAGAATTCTTACCAGGATTATTTTGAATTTATAGAGCACCTTGAGTAGAACTGACTCTTGAAAATACTGAGTCTTCTTACCTATGAACATGTAATATTTCTCAATTTATTTAACTTTTCTTTGTCCTACATTAGAGTTTTCCTTGTCTAGGTCTGTACATATTTTGTTATTTTTATTCCTGTGTATCATTTTGGGGGCACCAGTATGTTGCTTTTAATTTTCAAATCCACTGTTCATTGCTGGTACATAGGAAAGTGATTAGCTTTTACATAGTAACATTATGTCTTCCCATCTTGCCATAATTACTTATTACTTTCAGGAGTTTTTGTTGTTGATGATGTTTTTTTTTTTCTGATTTTCTATATAGATAATAATGTCATCAGTAAGCTATTAAGAAAACAGTGGCAACCCAGTAAAGAACACAGCTGGGGCTAGGGATATAGCTCAGTGGCACAGTACCTGCCTGAAAAATGTAAGGTCATGAGTTAGATTCCCATCACCAAAAAAAAAAAAAAAAAGAAAAAGAAAAAGAAAAAGAAAGAAAAGAAGGAACACAGCCAACCTGAATTTAGAAGTTCTAGGTGAGACCTCCTGGACTAACTCCAAAGAAAAGTCCAAGTAGCTTTTACTGAGCTGCATCTTTTAATGGATAGGGTAAGGGATATGTCACTTAAGTGGGGTGACACAAAGAAAGAGGGTTGATATTGGGGAAGGGGAAATGGCTGAGTATGTGGCCAGAGCAGGCAGGACAGCTGTGTCACATCTGAGCAGAGTGGCCATTGTCCCTGATCCTAGGTAGAGGGCTCCAGCTTGTAAGAGCAGGCTGTGATCATTCTCAGAGCTCAGCTGTGCGGAGCTCATTCACATCCTGTCCTTTTTAGACGGGACAGGGAAACTGGAGGAGAGTATAATTGGGTTCCCCATCACTATGTAAAAGACTAAAGGGATCAGAAGTTAAGTACAGTAAAACTTTAGATTATGAGTAACTTATTCTGCAAGGTGAGAAAACATTTTTAATGAATTTTAACTTGGTATACAAGCAGTGTCTTGCAATATGAGTACTCCATGACCCTAAATGCCACATGATCACAACTGAGCCAGTGTTTCTTCTCTCTGTTGTAGAATTGTATGCCATGTCACATTTCAGCAAAATTCTGAAAAGGAAGCAAAAGCAAGTGTCATTGGATAGATAGGTTCATTATTAAAGGTGCATGGAAGAAAAAGATTCCACTGAGCCAGTAGTTAGCAGTGATTCTGTTACTGATAGTCAAAGTTATCCTATACATGAGACCCTTCCTGTCTCATCTCCCTCACACCATCTACAAAGTTTTTCAAAGGTAAATGCAGGTTAATTTTTCTTTATATTTTGTATTATATTACAGTATTGTAATTATTTTTATATCACTATTTTGGGGTTGTAGAACAAATCAGCTGAGTTCCACTACTCCTTATGGGAAAATTTGCTTTGATATACAAATGATTTGTATTAAAAGCATATTTCTAGAATAAATTATGCTCACAAACAAAGGTCTTACTGTGTTTTCCTTCCCCTTGTTGGTTGAGCTTTCATAAAACATCAGTAGGTTAGGCTCTAGTAAAATAGTTTATCTTTAGGGCAGGCATTGTTAATTAGACCAGAATGCTTTGGTATTTATATTTCAAAATGATTAGCTTTCCCCTCCTCCTTCCAGAAGAACCAGGAGATTTTTCTCCAGTGTGCACTGTGAGAACCTGGCGGTGCTCGTGGTAGTAAAACAAAAGTGTCCAATTCCTCTTCCCAAACAAAATCAAGCCCTTCCTGGAGTTTTTAACTCTTAAACATCCACACTGAACATCTAGCAATTTGGAAATTACAGTTCATTCCTACCCTGGTACTGATTTCCCTGAGGAGGTTTCTGCTTTCATTACTTATGATTCTCCATATTTCTCTGTCTTTCTATTTAGGGGTGGGAATGGACAGAAATTTGCCTTGGAGTCTTACTTCTCTGATAAGTTTAAGAAAATTGTTGATTTGTCAGTTAGTTTTTTTTTAAAGTATTATTAAGAATAACAATGTCCAAGCCAGATGTAGTGGTGCCTGCCTGTCATCCCAGCACTCAGGAGGCAGAGTCAGAAGGATCACTATGAGTTCAAGGCCAGCCTGGGTTACATAGTGAGTTCAAGACCAGCCTGAACTACATAGCAAGACTGTCTCAAAAACAAGCAGAGACAGAGCCAGAGCCAGAGAGAGAGAGAGAGAGAGAGAGAGAGAGAGAGAGAGAAACAGTGTCCAGGCTCTCTACATGCCAAGCCACAAACCAGAAGTCAAGAGATTTACATTTTAAATAGGGTTCCCAAGGAAACCTCATCAAAAGGCAATGTTTAAGAATAGGGAAAGCCACAAGGTTAAGACATAAGAAAATGGAGAAAGGAATAAGGTCCAAAATTCTGTGATACAAGGTGTACTCAAGGATATATACTCAAGGATAGCAGGGTCAGTTCAGATAAAATGAGAGCGCTCCAAGAAGGGGAAGAAGTAGGACACGGTGTTAAAGTTCAGAGATCTAATCGCATAGTACTTTCTGGATATTTTAAGAACTACAGCTTGTATTTCAGGAGAGATGGAGAATCACTGAAGTGCTTTCAGTTGGAGTAACACGACAGGATTTATGTTTTCACCACATGACTCTGGAGCCTTGGTGAGGGTAGATTATAAAGAGCTAAAGTAGAAGCAGCCTATGTGCACAGTAATCCAGGAGAAATAATGGTGACATGGGCCAGTATAAGATCTAAGGTAGATGGCAGTGGTAAGATTCTAGATATACTATATTAGAAACTAGATTTAAGAGGATTTTCAATGAGTTGGATATGAGGTATAAGATTAAAAAGAATCAAGAATGTCCCCTAAGTTTTTGGCTGAGCCTGTGCTGCTATAAATAAGAGAGATTGTCAGAGGAGGCTGGTTTTCTGTTTGTTTGATGTAGGAGAGATAAGCAAAAGAGGATATGAAGATCTCAATTTTAAATATATATTTCAGAATCCTACATTGTTTCAAAATCTACTGAATGGACATATGTATAGGCCATTGGAAACAATGAGAATACAATACAGAGGTTGTAAATTACAATACAGAGGGTGAAAATTAAAGCCACGGGACTGGGTGGGAATCATGCAGGGAATGGGTAGACCGGTCATGAGCCCAGGGGCTCTCCAATACTTACAGGTCAATGAGATAAAGAGAACCAAGAGAACTGAGGTTGAGCAGCCATGAAGGTAGGCGGAGTCTCAAAAGAGCAGAAATGTCCCGGATTCCAAAAGAAGAATATAGTTCAAAGAATATTTTACTTGAGTCAAATGCCAGTGATTGGTAAAATAAAATGAGATTTAACACAGTGGAGAGAGACTTTCAGATATTCACATAAAAATAGTGCTCAGCAGAGTAACATCCTCAAAAGCTGGACTGATGTGGTTTCAAAAAAGAATGGAAGAGAAAAAAATGTAGACAGCAGGGAGAGACAGTTTTTTCAGAGTTTTGCTATGAAGAAACATGCCATGTCACTATAGCTTGGGAGGAACAGACACAGTGTAAAAGTTGGGTGATTGTGTCCACCCTTTCTTCAAGGAGAATGAACAGTCATGTTAACAGAAAACTAAGTACCAAGACAAAATGTAGGCAAATGAGTAGATGCTGAAGTAGATGCATAAGAAGATTCTCTCCTAGTTATGTCTGTTTGAAGATTTATAATATACAAATAGATTTTAAATGTAATTTTAAAAATTATTTATTTAAAACTTAAGCATGTTCCTATACCTTGACATGCCCTCCTATAACCAATGTCAAGTGCTACTTTGAATGCAATTACAAGGAAATAAAATAAATTTGAAAACTAACCCCTAATTGTTGGCTGCTTTATTATTCCATTTTTCTTCTTGGAATATTGCATCCATAAAAATACAGTTTATATTTGCATAGTGAACTCTCCCTGAGCCCTTGTACTGGCTGTTTCCTCCTTATCTTTAGTTTTAACTTAAATGTTATCTCTTCCCAGGTGCCTTTTCTGATCTATTTTATTAAGTTATTCCTCTTATCATCCAATATAGTACATTTTTTCTGGTTACTTACAATAGACATCTACAAGGGTTGCTAGGCTACACACAGTATCTGACATATTATAGATGATTAATAAGTATTTGCTAAATGGTTGCATGTATAAATAAAGTAAAAATAATGAATCTCTGACATCTACAGATTAAATTCCTGAAATGAACCTGACAGAGCCAAGGTTAAACCACATGTAAAATTATTACTTAATTTCTACCCAGACCTCCAATGTAGAGATTTCACAATATGCTTACACAAGTGCTTACATCTCTTTCCAGCTGGCTGAACAGTATGGGCCTGTTTATACCTTGTACCTTGGACCCCGGTGCACTGTGGTCTTACATGGATACGATGCAGTAAAAGAAGCTCTGATCAATCAAGGTGATGAATTTCATGGCAGAGGACGTTTTCCAATCATAGATAACGCTCAGAAAGGATATGGTATGTTTTAAGTCAAAATAGCTTAAAATTTTGGGCACATTTTAACTTTCATCTGTTCTGTACTTAGCAACTAACCAGTTACTGCAGCACCGCAGTGCAATTCTGATGCTAACTACCCAGAGTTAGCACAGGATCATAGGGTAAAGCTACAGATGCACCAGAATGTCCTCAGATGACAGGCACAAGTTTAAGGATCCACAGGTCACTCACACTTTAACCAACTGGCTCAGATTCAATAATTTGGAGAATGAATCATAGAACTCTGGAAGGTACTCGACTTAGAATTTACAGCTTCATTACAGAAAGGACACAAATGAGACATGGAACAAGGACTGGGCAGAGATTACAAATATAAAGCTGAATCCTGTCCCTAAGGCCAACAATGCATTATGCTCCTTGCATATTGATATGTTCACAGGCCAGGAAGCTCACCTAAGCCTCGATGTCAAGTTTTTCCTGGGATTTCATTAAATAGACATGATCATTTGAATCACTGATCAGCCCACCTGCTCCTTGGAGGTTAGGTTGAACCCTTGGAGTTCAGGTTGAAATCACTAGATCAACTCTCTAAACCTAGCTGGTTGCTCTTTGTGGCATGGCCAGCTCTCATTTTGAAACTATCAAGGGGTTTACCGTGAGTCATCTCCTTAGCATAAACTCAGAATGTTCCAGAGATTTCCCCATGAGTAATAAAAGCATTTCTAGTTTTGAAGGACCCATAAACAATAGACAAAGATAAGAAAAAAAAAGGTTCTAATATAGCTGGGGATTTAGCTCAGAGTCAAAAGTGTCTGCCTGGCAAGCGTGAGGTTGTGAATTCGATTCCTGGTACAAAAAAATGTGAAAAAAAAAACCCTCTATTATACAACAGAGGCTCTGTAGTTCCATTAAGATAAACATCAAAATCAGACTCTGAGTTCCCTGTAGGTTAATTCTGTGGACATTACTGAGACAAGAACAGTCTGAGGAACTTTCGTAGGAAGAGTGGTACCAAATGCCAGTGAATGGTACAATAAAATGTTTTAAGGTTAGGGTGTTTGAGAAGCCAGCGCTGGGGTATAGTTTCCCATGATGCAGTAGCACAGTGGCAGCAGTGGCAGATAGGTGACTGGATATGAAAATCACTGTTCTCAGTGCTGGCCTGTTTGGTGGGGCAGTGAGGAGGGAGAGAACCCACAGGAAGCTACCATGTACTAGACATGTTCTAGTTCTTCACAGATAACAGGTTCACAGATAATCGTTTTTGCATTTCAAAATTTGGACATGTGTTACATGTATTCATATTTGGATTTCCTATTAGAGCTGAAAGTTTTCTTCAAACCATATAAAATTGTAGGTCCCAGAGAAATAGAAACATGCTCTTTTCAAAGCATACTTATGAATCACTAATTAAATATACTGTAGTGTGCTAAGTTGTAGAAGTGGAACAATCTTTGACCTCTCTCTCTTAAAATTAAAATATATTTTTTCCACTAAAGAAGCAACCAAGCCTCCCTTTCACTACCTTCCAAACAAGTTGATTACATTGGCTGTGTGTGCCCTTTTCAATTAATTTTTAACGGGAATGGAACTGCTGGGCTGCTTTTGAACTGAAGAGGAGAAAATTACTGGTTTCAAACATGTGATTTTACAACTCTGGCAAAATTGGGTTCCAAGTATCTGTAAAACTCCTGTCATTTCTCCTTATTTACACATAATGAGAGCATTCAACTCTTCCTTTCCCCAACTTTTCCATTCTGGAAAATAACAAAGAGATCCATTCATCCATATTTTAGTGTTTGTTCTCTATCAGTTCCCAGTTACTCCCAAAACAAAATACCAAAATTTGGGTGGCTCCGAAAAAAAGAAATTTGGCCAGGCCAGAGTGGTGGCACATATCTGTAATCCCAGCACTTGGGAGGCTGAGGATCTCTGGGAATTTACGGCCAGCCTGGGCTAACAAATGAGTTCAAGGCCAGCCTGAACTGAATTGCATAGTGAAACTGTCTTGAAAAGACAAAAAAAAAAAAAAAAAAAAAAAAAAAAGAACTTCATTATTTCACAGTAGAAGATTGCTTCCTTCTGTGAAGGGGAATCTATTTTGTTCCTTTCTCTGGTTTCTGGTGGTTTTCTGGCAACTCTTGATGCTGTTTGGCTTGTGAGTGTATAACCTGTGACACTGTCCCTACATGTGTGTAGCTCCCTGTCTAAATTTCTCTATTTTATGAGGGCAGTAATAATACATTGGCATGGCCTACCCTATCATCTCATTTCAACTTGGTAACTTCTTTAAAGACCTTATTTCCAAGTAAGGTTACATTGACAGAAAGCGGAGGTTAGGAAACCAGCATACTTGTGGAAAAACGGGGCAATTCAGTGAATAACACCTTGCTAAAGGAAGTGTTTTCTAAAATTCCAAATGATTTTCTAACATATTTGAAAACTATAACATTCTATTATAGATTCCTACATCTTTCTGACTAATCAAGTTGTTGAAACATTCCCTGCTACTTATCTACTCAGTAATCTTTAAACATGTATCACATCAATAGCAGTCCTTATTTGATCCACATACCAGTATTATGGTAGGTACCATTGTTCACTTACTAAAGTGTAAAGTTTAAAGTAACTTACAGTATTCTTAGAGGTAGAGATAAACAGCCTCTTATTTTTCACTTGGGATGGTGCCTTATAATCCACTAAGAAGTACTGACATATAAATGATAGAGACTCATTGGTGAATCTAGTTTACCTAAGTAGGAACAACCTCTTATTTAATTCTATTACGCATGCACACACACAAACAGATTAGGCTATGAGAGGGAGTAACTTCCATGGAGGAACTTCAGACCTACAGGGTTATGGACATGGTAGAAAGAATTTGAATAATCTGGCAACTCTGTGAATTTATAAAAATGAGAGAGGAAAGTACTTTAAAGATTGTTATTGTTTAGATGTGATTTATTCTCAAAGCTTCACATGTTCGAAACTGCATCTCTTGCGGCTCATTGTTGGGAAGTGGTGTACGGTTTTTAGGAGATAGGGCCAAGAAGGAGGTCTCTAAATCATTTGCAGGTGTGTCCTAAGAAGGGATTGTGGAATTTCAGTATTTTTCTTTGGCTTTTGTGTCTAGTAATGTTATCTCTCCCTCTCCAAAGTGCTACTGCCATAAGGATGTCATCCTCCTTTAAGACTTCACTAGTGCTGAGGTAGTGATATGCCCTTGAACCTCTAGAACTATAAGCTAAATAAACCTCATTTCTTTACCAAGCAGCTTCTCCTCAGGTATTTCATTATAGTAGCAGTAAGTATATAAATACAATTGTAAAGTAAAATTTTTTTTTGGCAATAATGGGGATTGAACCAAGAGCCTTGCACATGCTAGGCAACTACTGTCCCACTGAGTTACATCCCCAACCCAGTTGTAATTTTTCAGATTTCTAAGAATATTAGAACCTGGAGAATGGTATTGTAGTATAAGATAAGGACATTTTGGAGATAGAATCAACAGAGCTTATTAAATTCAGATATGTAAAGGCCAGGAAGGATGTGGTGATATCTCTGAGAATTTAATATTTATTTATTTAGGTTTTCTTGAGACAGGATCTCATCATGTAGCTCAGGCTGGCCTTAAACTCACTATTTAGTCCAGACTAGCCACAAACTCAGTGATCCTCCTGCCTCAGCCTTCTGAGTGCTGGGATTACAGGTTTGCGCCACCATGCCCAGCGTGAGAATTGAATTTAAAAGCAAGACAAAATGGTGGTGTATTGAGAAATCAGGAATTTAAGGATACATAGCTAGCTTTGTACATAGGAAAGCATTTTTAAAAATCACTCCTATGGAGCATACTATGTCCTTTTGTTCCTTTGTTTTCTCTTATTCAGATTAAACCGATTAGCTATAGTAGAGTCTATGGAGAATAGAAATAAATCCTGAACTGATCTGATCAGAAGTTATTTATCCCCTGGTAGGGAAAATGACATATAGAACCAACACACAAGTTAAAGAGAGATTAGGTATCAAAACAGAAATTTATGAGATCACACAATAGTTTTTATTTTTTTGACAAAACTAGACAGAGGTCCCTTCCATATGTGATAACTCGGACCCCGGTATAAAATCCAAGGAAGCAAGAAATTAAAATTTGGGAAGCAAAGGCTTTATTAGGTAAAATCCAGGCCTGGTGACGAGTCTCCGGGAGCCAATTTGGAGACTGCGCACCTCACAGCTAAAAGTCAGGACTTTTTATCTTGTAAATCCACAAACAGCTGCTGGTCACACAATGTAAGGAGGGGGCTGGGGGTGTGACGCACTACAAAGCAGAAACGGCAATTGCAAGTCTCCCTGCATACTAGCAAGTTTAGATAAGAAGAAATCTTGTTTTTCTTAACAAAGAATAGAGAAGTCTAACAGCAATTAACAACCTTAGTTACCTTACTTTAGCACCACAACTGTTCTATTTGTAGAGGGCAACAATGGTTAACATATCAATTAGGTAAGATTTTACAATTTTTTACAGAGGAGAGCATTGATTAACATATCAATCCTTTGCCCAGAGGGAAAGGAAAACACACATTTACAGTAAAGCCAAGTTACAGGTATTGCTATGATACAAACGAAGCTATTGTTGTGAAGAATGTACAATCCAATACAATCTAATGCAATTAACACAATTTGTGACGGGCTACCGGGTAGGGAAGACCCGGGTTGTCAGGAGCTATTACCTCAGGCCTTTGTTTTATGGCCTTTAGGAAGTTAAAACTTAACCTAGTTAGATGGGAAGGGGAGGGGAAGCAGCAGGTGGGCTTATACAGAACAGACCTTACGGCGCGATAGTTAGGGGGCCTTAGGTTATAACACATACTCCAGAATATTCTCTGCTTACAACCACCCCACTGTCTGGTTCTGCCATTTTTACCACCTGTGGATCAACGCTTGAGATTTTTATGGCAGACATTTCAATTGAGCTACAGAACGCGACTCTTAATTCCAGATGAGGGGCCCTGGAAATGATTCATGGTACACAAAAGAAAACAGCTTTAGAAAAATGTGGACTATGGGTACAAAATGCTTTTCTGCTCTTGTTTCTTTTCCTAGGGCTCATTTTCAGTCACGGAGAGAGATGGAAGCTCATGCGCCGCTTCTCCCTCATGACCCTGAGGAACTTCGGGATGGGGAAGAGAAGCCTTGAGGAGAGAGTGCAGGAGGAAGCCCGTGGCCTCCTGCAGGAGCTGAGAAATACAGAAGGTGAATTCTAGGAGCTGTCCCCTGGGGGCTACGGGTACTTTCTAGGCACACTGTTCCCAATCCCTGCTCTTCTGGCCCACGATCTGCCCTCTTCATCAGGGAGTTAGGGAGGAGGAAAGGAAAGAAGATGATTTCCAAAGCTCTGAGAGTTCTGGAATGTTTTTGTCTGGATTCATTTTCTAACCTTCACTCTTACTACATGTGTATCTTTGGGCAAATTACTTAACTTTTTAAAACACGTTTTGTTCAACTGAAAAATTGAGCTAAAAACCAAATTCAGAATAAAGATGAAATAATACAATATGTGAACCATTTACACAGTATCCAACATTATGTAAATGGTCTAAGTTGTTGTTGCTATTGTTACTATTATAGTATAATATTCTATAATGTTACGAGTATAGCATTTTATAATATAGCACCACTTGCTATAAAAACACTATGTATACAAATAGTATATTTATTATAAATACTAATATATAATCAATATTAATGTTATATATTAATGCTTACATTTTATTTTAAGGCAATCTAGAGGAAAACAAACTATATGTATTAGTCTGAAAAGAAGAAAGCCTGGTTCTTGAAATTCTAATGCAGAGTGATTAAACTTCCCCATGCTATACTTGCTTTTTCCTCATGTCAGGTCAGCCCTTTGATCCCACCTTCGCCCTTTCTTGTGCTCCCTGCAATGTGATCTGTTCTGTCCTCTTTAATGAGCGTTTCCAGTACAACGATGAGAAATTCCTCACCCTGATGGATCTGTTAGATGAAAATTTTAAACAAGTAAACTCTCGCTGGTGCCAGGTAAGGCCAAGGCTGCATCTGTTTGTGGCTATACTCGTTGGTCTCTTGGTGCCTGATGCAGAATAAAAGACTGTAAGTGTCCCAGCCTATCGATGAGCGAAGTGCCAGCATGAAAACTGTGCTCTTCCTCTGACATGTGCTGAATGAACAAGTGCACTGGCACCTAACCCAGACTCTAGAGAAATACCCCCTGCTTTCCCTGACCAGTTCCCTCACAAGAAGAAAATGGATTGGCCTGGGGGTGTAGCTCAGTGGCCTTGGTCATGTGTGAGGTCCTGGATTTGACCTCAAGCACCTTAAAAATTGGGTACAGAGCCTTTCCAGTTATTTGTTTTCCAACCCTCAGTACATCTTCCCCCTTTTCTGACTCGAAAGTTGACAAACATGGGAAGAGCAAGGAGATGGGAAAGAGATGCTTTTCAGTGCGTGGTGACCATCTTCTGTTCTGTTTGTAAGCAGGCCACTCAGAAACTGCTCTCCCCACAATCCAAGTTCCTGAGGTTTGGGGAGGGTTGCTTATTTGTTGGTTTCCATTTTTAGATATACAATCTTTGGCCAGTACTCATGAAGTATCTCCCTGGAAAACACAAAGAATTCTCAAAAAAGATTTATGATGTTAAGAATTTCATTCTGGAAAAGGTGAAGGAGCATCAAGAGACCTTGGACCCTGATAACCCCCGTGACTATATCGACTGTTTCCTTACCAAGATGGAGCAGGTATTATACGCAGCAGGCCTCTTTCCTTGATACTATATTCTGTCACTCTTAAAAATGCAGAAAAATATAATCATCTTACATAGGTAACTGTTGATAGTTTGGTAGTTTGTAACCAGAGAATCTGCTATTATCCTTAAAAATGCAAATTCAAAAAGTCTAAAGATCTTATTTTTCCTTTGTATTTCTATTACTTCTTGCACTTGGCTATGGATATTTAAATGTTTTCAATTCACTGTTCTCAATTATTTTGCAATTTCTATATTGTTTTGTTTTGGTTTGGTTTGTTTGTACCAGGGATCAAACTCATAACCTTGAGCTTGCCAACTGGGCACTTACACCATTGAGCTAAACCCCCGGCCAATTTTGCAATTTCTAAATACATAATTCCCCAGAGTAGCTAAAAATACATAAATTTTCTCTACATATCATTTACACTGACAGTCATTTTTGCTACAGTGCCTTCCCAGAGACCAATACAATATTAAAAGCCTGATTATGTTTTTACAAAGTATAATTGAAATATGCAGTAAATAAATTTTAAAATTTATTATAATGGAAGACACATTGCCATTAATTTCCCTCAGACTTCCCCTTACTTTGAACACATTTACCTCATCATTATTACCACTTTTGGAAGCAGTTCTGAAAGTCTTTTTTTTTTGGTACTTCAGATGGAACTCAGGACCTTGCACTTGCCAGGCAAGCACTAAGGCCACTGAGCTAAATCCCCGGCCCCAAGTCCTTTTTTTAATTTTTAGTTGCATTATTGTGACTATCTTGATGGCCTGAATCATCCTGAATCAATTCAAAATATTTAACTTTCATGGCCTTTTTTATTTGGAGAAGAGCCAGAAGTCATATGATTCTGGACCTCATACCTTGGTTACTTTTCTCTCATTGCTTAGACAAAATATGTGACACTCAAAATTAAGGAAAAAGAGGTTTCTTTAGCTTACATACTGTGGAGGTTTCAGTCCATAATCAGCTGGCTCCAAGGTAGGGTGGTATGGCAGAAGGGCAACAGTTCATGGTGGCCAAAAGACAGCAAAAGTAGCAAGAACAAAAAAGGGAGGGACATGAGAGAAGCTCTCTCTGTCCTTTACATTGTATGTAGGCCATCCACTCTAGGTTAAGTGTAACACTCACACTCATTATCCCAGCACTGGACTGTGAATCCATCACAAATTCTAGAAACCTGCCCCATGACCACATGAGGTTTTGGTGGAACATCTAGATATGACCCATAACAAGCACCATAATATTTTTCAAGTCTTCCCATTTGGCAGCAGCATTCATTATATTTTTTTATCATATCTTGTAAAGACATTCACAAAAGAAGACTTCCAGCACTGCTTCATAATGTGGCAAGAACAATGAGGTAAGAGTGATTGAAACACGGAGAAGTATTTTGATGGGAATTAATGGCAATGTGCTTCTTACTGTAATAAATATTTTTAATTTAAAAATTTATCATATGTATTTTGAAGATCCCTTATGCACAGAAATACTTTTGTTATTTGAAATTGTTCTGGATGAAGGATTCTAAAGTCAATCCACTACAAATACATTGTGAGCAGTATTAAGCATAGAGAATGACAACTATAGCAGAGCCACCCACTCACAGAAAGCCGCTGAACATAAAACATCACCATGACAGGAAATGTATAAGCACATATTACAACTAAACATCTGAAAATTATGCTTTGACCCCTATAAGAACATCAACATTTATGTAAAGGACCCAGAATATGTACAAATGAAATAAAAATACCATTCAGCAGTATCATAAATGTGCAAAGTATATCAAACATTAATAACCTGTGACACTAGCCTCTAGGAGAGCTGTTTTCCTGGAAAAACATGTGCAAGGAGAAAATGTTGATGTCCCTTTTACTTTTCACTTACTTCTCTAGAATCAGCCAAACGCTTTGAACTCATTCTCCTTTGTAAGGAGATCCATTGAAATAATCTATTTATCCTAATTGAATGTTCAAAGAACCAAAAGACAAAAAGCAGGCAGGTCATTGATCCAATCATTCAAAATGATTGCTGACTCTTCTTTCAGATTTGCTTGATAAAGGAAATAAAACAATAAGTCAAATCACATACCTGCAGTCTTCTTTCAAACCATTTCCACTGTTTAGTGAAATATTTATTTTACTTTTGTAGTTGCTGCTGTCATAAAAGGGCTGAGTGGTGTTGATTTTCAATGCTTTAGATCACAAGCAATTAGCATGATTGTTTGGAATACTATAAAGAATCATCAGATAAACTTACTAGTTAAGTAGTGGTGGTGTGTCTTTTCTCTCTTCCTCTCCCTCCCCCCTCCTACTGTCAGTCACACTCAGGACCTCACACTTCCTAGGCAGGCACTTCCCTGTATCTTAGTAAAGATCCCCGGCCCCTGTCCTGTATCTTAATAAAGCTTACAGTCTCATGCAAAAATCCCAAAAGCAAGCAGTAACAAGTTTTCAACGAGCAGTACCAACCTGGGTACCATGACACATGTCTTAGCCCCAGCTACTCTTGAGCCTGAGGCAGAATTGCTTGAGCCCAGGAGTTTGGATCCAGCCTGGAGAACAAATCAAGACCAAACCCACAAACAGTTACAATGGAATACCAACAAGGGAAATAGTTGCTCGGGAAGAACATGGCAGGAACGCCAGTGCTAGTCTCCTGAGAGTCAGAGCAGGACTTGTAACCAAGGCTGGCCAGACACCTCTCTGCCTATGTAATAGTGGAGCTAAGAACTGAAGAGAGAATAGGGAGTATGGATGTGTGAAGAGTATGAAGACTCCGAAGAAAAATGCATTAAGAAGAGAAATAAGGTTACAGAAGTCCTGCAGCAGAAGGAAATGTGGAAATATGAGGGGAAGAGAGAAAGCCCGTGTGACTAAAGGGAGAGTGGTGAGAGAAAGGCCAAAGCAGCAGGAAGTCAGCTGATGGTAGAAATTAAGAGAAATGAATAGATTTGAAAGACTGAGGAAGCAAAATCTCTTAGTAATAACCAGTGGTGTTGCTGGACAGTTGAGAAATAAAAAAGAGATGAGGTGAGCGATCTGTACTCCCATAAGGGAGTTCCAGGCACCAATTCAGGGGACACCGGACAGAGACCATTAGCAGTTGCCACTGTGCACGCCAAACTCTTGAAACCTACTCAAGTAGGCTAGAAGAAAAACCAAGAGGAATGTCGAGGCCACGTGCATTGCACATGCCTGTAAACCTAGCTGCTTGGGAGACTGAGGCAGGAGGATCCCTGGAGCCCAGGCATTTGAAACCATCCCGACATCACAGTGGGGCCCCGCCTCAAAAAAATGTCTAGACTTTTCACTGTTCCTTCTTTTCTCTTGTTCTATTTCTATATTTCTGGAAGGTAACTATCAATAGAAGATGAATAGAAAATTGTGCAGTGTTCCTCCTTCCTACTAGTTTTGTTCTGTTTCATTTTAATATTAAAACTCTATAGCCTTACTACTTAAAGAGATTTAAACTGTGTTAAGAATTGAATAAAATGTAAAGTCCATCCTACTTAGTTAAATTACAGAGCTAGAACATCAGTGAGATGCATTTTGATATTTCTGTTTTCATCTTATCTTTCTTTACCATCAAAGACTTTTAACCAGGCGTGGACACCACGTAGTGCACACCTGTAGGATCGCCATGAGGTTGAGGCTAGCGTGGGCTACATAAGTGAATTCAAGGCTAGTTTGCACTGCATGGTGAGACTTTGTCTCAAAAAAATTATTTTTTGACCACATTTGATTGGTACATTTTAGATACACATAATGATTATATTCATCATAGAGACTTTGTACCTGTGTATATGATACACCTTGATTCTTTTTTCCCATTCCACTACCCTCCTTTCAACCCCTTTTCCCTTCCCCACTTATAAAAGCTTTGCTTCCAATTTTTCCTTCTTTTCTTTTTTACTTTTCCCTTCTTTCCTTTCCCCTCTCCCTCCCTTATTCCCCTCTCCATTTGAACATTTGCTTCACAATACCTGTTATTCAGTTTTGGCCTTATTTATACTTTCTCACATCAGAGAAACAATGTGTGGTATTTTATGTGTGTATCCAATTTAATTCACTTAAGAGCATGTTCTCAAGGTCCATCCATTTACCTAGAAATGTCTCAAATGTATCTTTCTTTATGACAAAGTAGTACTACATTGTATTTTTTTTTAAACCCCATCTTCTTTATTCAATCACCAGTTGGTGGGCATTCAGGCTGTTTCCAGGATTTGGCTATTACAAACTGTGCCACTGTCAACATGGGGGTGTGTATATTGCTTTGATGTGACGCTTTTAATTCTTTTGGAACAATAGCAAGGAGGGGAATAATTGGGTAAAATGGAACCTCTAGTCCTACTTTTTTGAGGAATCTCCACACTAATTTCCACAGTGAGTTGTACTCCTTACCAACAGAAGGGTTCTTTTGTCTTGATAGCCCTTCCAGCATTTGTTATTGGTTGATTTTTGATAATAGCCATTATTTCTGGAGTAAGATGGAATTTCAGTGTTGTTTTACTTTTCATCTCTTGAGTGATCAGTGATGTTGCACATTTTTTCATGTATTTATTTGCTGTTTGCATTTCTTCATCTGAAAACTGTGTGTTCATCTCAGATGCCCATCTCTAAATTAGGTCTTTCTGATATAATTGTTATATAATTGGCTATAATTGTTTTGAGTTCTTTATATATTTTCTTTTGTGGGGGAAACCAGAGGTTGAACTCAGGAGCCTGTGCTTGCCAGGCAAATGCTTGTGCCACTGAGCTAAATTCCCGGCTTCTTTATACATTTTTCAATTGTAATCCTTTGTCTGAGAAAAAGCCTTCCAAAATTTTTTCCAACATGGTGGGTTTTCTCTTCACTTTATTGGTAGTTTCTGTTGCTGTGCAGAAACTTTTTAATGAGTTCCTAGTTGTTGATTCTTTATGATTCCTCTGCGATTGGAGTTTTGTTCATAAAGTCTTTGCCTACCCCAGTATCTTCAAGAGTTTTACCTATTCTGTCTTCCAGCAGATTTAATGTTTATGTTTTAATGTTTAGATCTTTGATCCATTTTGATTTTAGTTTAGTTCATTGGAAAGATACGGGTCTAATTTTAATGTTCAGCATGTGCAAAGCCAGTTTATTCAGCACCATTTATGTTTTTCTTTTATTTACTTTTTTTAGGAAATGAGACTTATTTCCATAGTTGCATGTATTAATTTAGCAGAGGTTTGCATCATTAACTAAATGTTCACACACCAGTTGAATCCTAGTAGTAAAAAATGACAGCATAACTGCATATCATTTCTATCAGAACCTTGGACTAAGATGCAGGTGTTTCTCTCACATGCCTTTGACTATACATCCAGCACCATTTATTAAAGAGGCTTTCTTCCAGTAAACATGTTTGGCCTCTTTGTCAAAGATAAATTGGCTAAGTATGTCTAGAGTTGTTTCTGGATCGTCTAATGTGTTGCATTGATCCTCAGGTCTGTTTGTTTGTTTGCTTGTTTGTCAGTACTATGCTGTTTTTATCACAAGGGCTTTGTAGTACAATTTCAAGTCTGGGATTGTGATGCTTCCTGCCTTGCCTTTGTTGCCCAAAATTGCCTCTACTATTCTAGGTCTCTTCTGGTTCCAGATGAATTTTAGGATTCATTTTGCTAATTCTGTGTGATACACTGTTGAAGTTTGATTGGAATTACAATAAATCTGTATAACAATTTTGGAAGTATGGTCATTTTCACTATGTAGGTTCTTTCTACCCAAGAGCAAGGGATGTCTCCATTCTCTGATATCCTCTTTGATATCCTTTTTCAGAGCACTATAATTTTCCATGTAGAGATCTTTTGCTTCCTGTGTTAGACTGATTACTAGGTATTTCATTTTTTGGATATTATTGTGAAAAGCATTGTTCCCTAATTTCCCTCTCAGTGAATTTGTTATTTGTGCACAGGAAGGCTACTGGGTTTTGAGTGTTGGTTTCATATCCAGCTATGCTACTGAACTTGGTTATTAAATCTAAAAGTCTTCTGGTGGAGTTTTTGGGTCTTCTGTGTAAAGTATCATGTCATTCACAAATAATGATGATTTAACTTCTTTGTCCTTATTCCATTTCTTTCTTTCTTTTATTTAATTACTCTGGCTAAAATTTCCAGAACTATACTGAATAAGAATAATGACACTGGACGTCCTTATCTTATTTCTAATTTTAGAGTGAAAACTCAGTTTTTGCCATGATTTTGGCTGTTGGTTTATCATAGATGGCTTTTATCAGATTGAGATAAAGACCATCTATTCTGATTTTCTATAGGGTTTCTATCATGAATGCATGTTACATTTTATCAAAAGCTTTTTCCACAGCTATTGACATGTCCACATGGTTTTTCTCCTTGGCTCTGTTAATATGCTGTATTACATTGATTGATTTATATATGTTGAATCATCCCTACATCTTTGTGATGAATCCTACTCGGTCATGGTGTATTATCATGGTGTATTATGTTTCACTACATTCTTTTTTGCCAGTGTCTTACTGAGGATTTTTGTGCCTATGTTCATTAGGGAGATTGGCCTATAATTGTCTTTCTTAGTTGGCTTCTTCTCTGGTTTTGGTATCAGAGTAAATTCATTCCAAGAATGAATTTGGGAGTACTGCTTCTCTTTCAATTCCATTAGAGTTTGAGAAGTGGTGATATTAGGTCTTCTCTAAATTTCTTGTAGAACTCAGCAGTGAGGGCTGAGGCTTTTCTTTTTTGGTAGAGTTTTCATTATATCTTCAATGTCATTGATTGATACTGGTTTAGTTAGAATTTTTATATCTTCTTGATTCAGCTTTGGTAATTTATATGTATCTAGTAATCTGTCCATTTTTTTCTACATGTTTCATCTTATTAGAATACAAGTTCTCAAAGTAGGTATAGATAATCTAGATTTGTGTAGGTTCCATTGTAATTTCACCCTTTTCATTCCTAATTGTGTGAATTTGAGTCTTTTTCCTTTTTTTGATATGGTTGTTTAAGGGGTTTGTCAGTTTTATTTAATCTTTCAAATGAGCAACTCTTTCATTCATTCATTCTTTGTATTGTTTTCTTAGTTTCCATCACATAAATTTCTGCTCTGCTCTTTATAATTTTCTCCCTCATACAAGCTTTGGGTTTGACCTGCTCTTCTTTTTTTTTTTTTAAAGTTTTAGGTTCAATATTAAACTGTTTATTTGAGCTCACTCTATTTTCTTGATATGGGTATTCACTGCTATAAATTTACCCTGTAGGACTGCTTTCATTGTGTCCTATAAGTTCCAATATGTTGTACTGCTGTTATTTAATTGTAGAAACTGTCTAATTTCTTCTTTAATTTCATCTTTCATATATTTGTTGTTCAGGAGTGGTACTTAATTTCCATGTGTTTATGTAGTTTTTGTAGTTATGTGTTTATGCAGTTTATATGGTTTCTTTTGCCACTGATGTTTAGTTTCATTATACTGAGATCTGATAATATGCATGGGATAACTTCAGTTCTTTTGCATTTACATAAGAATGTTCTACGAGCTAGTATGTGGTCTATTTTGAGCAATACCTGTATACAGCTGAGAAGAATGTGTATTCCGATGTTATAGGCTATAACATTCTGTCAACATCTACACATTCGTTTAAAAGTTAAGTTGTAATATTGTTGATCTTCTGTCTAGTTGATCTATTTGTAACAGTGGGTTATTAATATCCCCAAATACCGTTATATTAGTGTCTATTTAATTTTTTTATGTCCATTAATTTTTGTTTTATATAGTTGAGTGCATTGGTATTTTTTGCATGCATATTTATGATTGTTTTCTATTCTTGGATTGTTCCCATTCTAAGTATGTAGTGACCTTTGTCTCTGTTAATCAGTCTTGCCTTGAATTTACTTTGTCTGCAAATAGAATAGCTACCCCTGTCTCTTCTGTATCTTGTCACATGGAATATTGTTTTCCACCTCTGACTTTAGAATTGTGAATTTCCTTTTGAATTAAATGTGTTTCTTGTATGTAGCATATTGTTGGATCTTGCCTCTTGATCCATTCTGCCTGTCTGTGTCTTTTGATCGATGCACTGAGACCATTAACATTAATGACTACAACTGATATATACTGACTTATCCTTGTCATGTTATTTCCTATTGTTGATCCCTTTTTATCCCCTCTGTTTAATTGTTTTCCTTGCCTGGTGATTCCTTCTATTAGAGTTCATGGAGTTTTAGTCCATGTTATCTCTTTTAGAATGGCCTTCAGAACATTTTGTAATGCTTGTTTGGTGTTCATGAATTTCTTCAGGTGTTCTCTGTCATTGGAGTATTTTATTTCTCCATCAATTTTGAAAGATAGTTTTTCAGGATACATCAATCTGGGTTGGAAGTTCTTTTCTTTCAGAACTTGAAATACTTCAAGCTCTTCTTGACTTAAGAATTGTGTTGAGAAGTTAGCTGTGATTCTGATGGACTTCCATTTATTTAGAGATGATTTGTCTGTTTTCCCTAAGAGCTTTTAATCTATTCTTGTGTTGAATTTCTGGATTCTTTTTTAAGTTTTTATTTTAAAGAGAATAAAACCAAACAAAATAAAACAGAACAAAGCCAATCAAAACAAACCAGTGTAAGTGACTCAGGACTTCAAAACAATACAAAATCAACAATGGTTATCATAATGCCTCTTGTTGTCTTTAAAATAGCTGCAGATACCTCAGACATAGTAAAAATCAAACAGAACAGAATAGAATAAAAACAGTACAGACAAAACAATGAATGCAATAAAGGACTTCAAAACAAACCAATAGCAAATCCAGGATTTCTACCATAATATATCTTGTTATCTTCAAAATAGCTGCTGATGTCATCAGATTTAACATAATCAAACAAAACAAAAGAGAATAAAACCCAATCCCACAAAACAATGCAAATGATATAGGACTTAAAAAAAAAAAAAAAAAAAAAACATAGGGAGTCAACAATGGCTATAACCCTGAGAAGGAGATGCCCCCAGATGCCAAAATGCATACTGCTATCCTGTAAACCTGTGATCAGACCACTGGCCCTAGACCTGCAATGTCAGTGAAACATCAAAGCACCATTTGTATCCAATTGCATTTCACCTTGATAGCTATCATCATAGCCTGTTTTTCTCCAGATCAGCCAGTTGCTTACAGGAGGGACGGGATTGGTACACCTTGCCTGCCGGTCCATTCACCAGAAGGGGCTGGGGTCTTCCTGTCCCCAGACTGGCAGTGGCCTGCATATGATGCTGGTTCCCAGATGGGGCATGCTGCCTTGTGTGGCTTTTTTCTTTCTTCCCCCAGTCTGAGAATGGACTGACTCACAGGGAGAGGCTTGTGTCTGGCTGTCTCTCATCCTATGGTGGCCACAAATGATGCTGGTTCCCAGGCGGGACTTGCTTTCTCTAAGAAATCTTTCTTTTCTTGATCACTAATCAGAAGTCTGTCTTCTATGTCTGAGATTCTGTCCTTACATTGGTTTATTATGCTGTAGATACTTATGACAGAATTTTTAGTTTCCTGGATATCTACTTAAATCTGTTTTATGGAACTTGTTTCTTTTCTGTGTTGTTTCTTTTCTGTGTTGAGCATTCATGGTTTCCATCATTTTCCTAAGCTCCTCTTTTTAAAATCTGTATCTTCTCTAGTCACTAAGCATGTTTTTCATTGTGGTCACCATAAGCGTAGTTACCTGAAAAATTATTTCCGATTTGATTTCTTCCAGAGCTTCATTCAGTTGCTTTGTTGTTAACATTTCAGAGAGGCCAGGTGGGGAGCTTTTGTATTATTTCACCTCATTGCTCACTGGGTTTGCCTTTGGTGAACTGGATGTCAAGGGTTGCATCTTATTTAAATGTCTTCTCATTTTCTGTTTTCTTTTAGTTTAATCCTTGAGTCAATTCTTGTAAATTGTCTATGGTGTATTGCTTTATTGCTAGAATGTAAAATTCTTAGGAAATGACTACTTGTGAGCAATGTCTTCAGGTGTAGCTTGTTTGGGAGTTTTGAGTCTGTTGCAAGATCCCTACCTCTTCTGTTTATTGAGGATGAGAAGTTGCTGCCTATTTGGCTCAGCTTCTTGCTCTTTGGCACTAGCCCACAGTATTTTCTGTGACCCGAGGCAACCTCAGTCTTGGAATACCAGGAAGAACATCTGGTTAGAACAATTATGTCACTTTGGCTAAACTGGTACAATTAGCAATAACAATAGCATCAAACACAGCCTAGAAATGACAGACGAAGTATCCATTAATTTGCCACCTTTAACCATATGAACTAGATGTGTGGTTATGCAAAAAAATCTAAAACAAGGAAATTGTGTGAAGTAAACCCTCAGTATGTGAATTTTACACTAGTGGAGGAAATTTTAAAAAGGGGTAGGGGAAAAATAGAGAAATAGAGAAGAAGAAGAGAGAAGCAAGACTAGAGGACAAAGAAGGATCACACAAACTTTAGGAAATTAGTGCAGAAAAGAGGAGGGATAGAGAGAAGGAAAAAAAGAAAAGAAAGAACAGAACAGAACAACAACCAAAATAAATTAGAAGCTACCTTCACATTCATATAAAATCAAGATAAAATAATGAAGGGGAAAAAAGAAAATAGAGACAGGACAAATAAAAAAGTCCACTTCAAGATTTTCCTCTGCTGTCTCTGGTAGGCAACATGGGGAATCCAGATCCATGTCAATTTATCCCAGTGAGCCAGCAGTAGCTTTACAGCAGGGTTGTGGATAATCTCAGTGAGGCTGTACCTTTATTTTCCCTGAAGTTCAGGCTGGTTTCTGGCCATGAGCTGGGATCAGACCTGATCAGCCTGAAGCAGTCACTGTGGCTTCTGCCTGCTTGAGCTCATCTGGTAGCTGCTAAATGGGCCCACCCAATTGTCCTGAGTTCTGAGCTTTTGGCCCATCACCTTATCCCTATGAATGTCCGATCCTACAGCACTCACTCTCAGGCAGTGCTGTCCCCTACATCCACTGCTCCCCTCTACTGCTGTGTCTCTCCATGGAGGCCTCTGGGGTCGCCAGCTGTCACTGTGTGTCTGCAGGTTTGAACTGTTCCTCCCACATAGTGAGTCCCAGCTCAGGGAGATGGAACCGACTGCTGCCACCTCCTACGTTGAAGTTCCTCTCTTCATTCTCCCTGTAGGCTTCAGTTCTTACTTTAGATCCTTCCCTGGTCCAGGGGATGCACTCTCCTCTTTCTTCTCTTCCTCATGTTGCTATAGTTTAGTGTCTGTATAGCAGATTTCAGACACTCTCTCTGTGGCTTGCTCCTCCATCATTTTCCTGGAAATCCCCAAAAGATTTTTATAACAAACAATTTAACTTTTGTTGTGAAGGAGTTACTTAAAATGCTCAGTATTCTTCACTCTGGCTAAAGACAGAAAGGATTCCAAGTAGAAAGTAACAATCTGCCTACCATTTTGACTTTCATGTGCAGAAATAATCCCATTTTGATATGAACAGGAGAAGCATGGTATAACGAAACTGAGTGGAAGTCAGGAATTTTGGTACACAGGTCAAATCTGAGGCCAGCCTGAGCTCCACAGCATGTTTCAGATTGGCCTGGGCTGCATATCAAGACAGACTCTGTGTCAGTGAGCACTAAAGGAAACAAATAACAACAACAGAAAAGAAACTTGTGGAGAAAATTTTGATTCAGAGCTTTCAAAATGAGTAATTACTTATTTTAAAATTTTTGAGCCATTTTTTGTACACATTAAATATCCATAATGATCACATTCACCAGAGGGAGCTTGTACTACCTGTACATGATACATCTTGGTTCTTTTTTCCCCAGCCTACTCTCTTCTCTTCAACCCCTTTCTCTTCTTATTTACAAAGCTTTGTTTCCATTTTACCCCTTCTATTCTCTTTTTCTTCTCCTTTCCATCCCCATCTCTTGTTCTCCTTCCCATTGAGTATCCTCTTCCTATTTCGCAGTATCTGTTACACATTTTTTGGTCTTATTTACCCTTTCAGTGTCTCACACCAGAGAAGCAATGTGATATTTAAACATGTGTTTCCAATTTATTTCACTTGGGTATAAACTCTTTTGTTTGTTTATTTTCCCTTCCTTCCTTTCTCCCTCCCCCTCCCTAGTTCCCCTTCCTTTTGAACAATTTCTTCCTATTTCACAACACCTTTTAGACACTTTGGTCCTTCTTTACACATTCAGTATCTCACACCAGAAAAACAGTGTGATATGTATACATGTGATTTATTTCACTTAAGAGTATCATCTCAAGGTGCATCCATTTACCTAAAAATGTTTTGCTTATTCTTCTTTGTGGCTGATTAGTACCTCAATACTCAGTAGTAGTATAAAAAATATTTTTTATCCATTCCTCAGTTGATGATCATCTGGGTTGTTTCCAAGATCTGGCTATTACAAATTGTGCTGCTGTAAACATGTGTGCACATGTATCAATGTGGTATGATGTTTTCAGTTCTTCCAGGAAGACACCAAGAAAAGGAATAGCTGGGTCAAATGGGACCTCTAATCCTAGTTTTTTGAGGAATCTCCCTCTTGGTTTCCACAGTGGTTGCACCAGTCTACATTCCCACCAACAGTGGAGAGGAGTTGCTTTTTCCCCACAGCCCCTCCAGGATTTGTTATTGGTTGTTATTTCTTGATAACAGCCATTCTTTCTGGCATAAAATGGAATTTCAGTGTTGTCTTAATTTGTATCTCTTGAATTACCGTAATGTTGAACATTTTTCTCAATTTGACAAACCAAGAGTCAGCATCATACTAAATGGACAAAAACTGAAAACTTTTACTCTAAAATCAGGAAGAAAATAAGGATGTCCATTGTCACCACTCCTATTCACTATAGTTCTGGAAACATTACCCAGAGCAATTAGGCAAGAATAAGAAATAAAAGGAATAAGGAAAATAAAGGAAAAAATTAAATTATCATTCTTTGCAGATGACGTGGTACTCTACATACTCAAAAACTCCACCAAAAGATTTGTAGAATAACCAAATTCAGTAGTATGGCTGGATACAAAATCAGCACTCAAAACTCAATCACATTCTTGTACAATAACAATAAATTTAGTGAGAGAGAAATTAGAGGACACCTTTCACAATAGTGTCAAAAAAATGAAGTACTTGGGAATCAGTCTAACAAAGTAAGATATTTGTAATTGAAAATTACAGTACTCTAAAAAAGGAGATCAAAGAGAATATTAGAAAATGGAAAGATACCTCTGCTCATGGGTAGGAAAAACTAACATAGTGAAAATGGCAAATAAATAATTTTTAAAACAAGTATTTTACTACTTTATGCAAATTCAAAACCAATATAGTAAAAGTTCACCAAGAAAATCAGCAATGAAAATAAGTTAAATATAGTAAATATGGAAATTAGTATTAGTTTAGTCCTACGTCATTAAACATTAATTTTGTCAACAAATTCTAAGTGCCATGTACTGTTTTTGAGGCTAAGGATACAAAAGACTTAGGCCTTGTTTGTTTTATTTTTAATGAAATCACTTTAAAATAGAAATGTTCATTTACCATTTTGAAGTCCTGAATCAATTTGTTTTCTAAGCAATTGATAGAGACCATGTAAAAAATTATGAATCAAAATGTCCAGTTTTTCGCATTAGAAGTGCTGCTAACAGTGTTGAATATTGTATGAGAACAGGTGGATCTGGGCACATCTGGAGTCTCAGTAAAGGAGGCAGATGAGTCATGAACCAGTGAGCTTCCCTAAATGTGCTTGCATAGATCTTCCATCTAGTATTCTCCATAAAATATAATAATAAAAGAATGTGTCATTCGCTGGCTGTTTATATATATGAAGCATATAGTCAGAGCCATTGACCTTGTAATCTCTATAATAACCCTACAAAAGCTGTTTCTGCCTTCTTAACTCATGTGGCCGGTAACTTCCATCTACAGGAAAAATACAAGCCAGAATCTGAATTTAATTTGGAGAACTTGGCAGCCTGTGGATCTAATTTATTTACAGCAGGAACAGAAACAACCAGTATCACCCTGAGATTTGGGCTGCTGCTCCTAATGAAATACCCAGAGGTGGAAGGTACCCCAAATGGGCTGGACAGGTCTTGACCTTGGGGCAGGGGGCAGGTCTGTGAGGCTTCATTTTCCCCGGGTTTCCTCACAAATGCAAAGGGCCCTTCACGGTTTCTTGCTTTTGTACGTCACAATTCAATCTAATGATACTTTTGTTCAAGCTTAAAAATAGAGGGGCTGTTGCATCCCAAATCTCATATATGAGAGGTACAGCGCCACAGCTCTAATGAAATGAGGGCATCGCATGTGGGCCCACAACTGCCCGGCTGTTAGACCACAAACAAGTTATTTAAGGTTCCAGACTTTGATTTTCCTACTGGGTAAAGCTCAAATTCCCCAAAAGGGATGTTCAAAGTTCTGATATAACTTTGAAGTGGAATTCAAAAATGATTTTGTCATAGCTGGGTAATCCTAAACCTGTTCTCAGAGCACAGGTTATAGGAAGCCAGTGTTTACAATGCTCAACACAATTCTGTCTGCCGCCCCCACAAAGGGCCAGTCAGAGCCGGTGAAGCTGATGAAGAAGATGGTTGAGGATTAAGCATCTTCACTCTATAGCTGCTGTGCTAAGGATCATGAGATAAACCATACTCCCTGTTACATAGGTCTTCTTACCAGTACACAGCAAACCAAATAAGACTGAACACTGAGACATGCCTGATCCATCCTTTGTTTCCTGCAGCAAAATCTTTGGAATTTGCACCAGAATAGAGTAGAAATTCCCTCAGGAGCAGAGCAGTGGGCTGCCTCCCAACAAAGCTTTAACCTTAGAGGTCTTTTCCTGGCCAATTCCTATCATACCTTAGAAGCGTTTCTGGGGCATTTCCAAGTCTCTGGCAATCATAACCCTGAGTAACATTCACAATTCATGCCCCTGCAGCCAAAGTTCATGAAGAAATTGATCGTGTGATTGGACGCAACCGAAGCCCCAGCATGAAGGACAAGATGAAGCTGCCCTACACAGAGGCCTTTCTGCATGAGATACAAAGATACATCACCCTGTTTCCTTCTAACCTACCCCATGCTGTAACCCAGGACACGAAATTCAGACAATATGTCATCCCCAAGGTTAGAGGCCTCTGGGAAAACTGCCTGGGATAAAAGGGGTCTGGATAGGAGAGAGCTTTTGATGCCTGTGGCTGAGGCAAGCTGTAGTCACAGAGCCTGGGTCTCCAGGCTGTGGCTGCTGCGCAGTGCACACTCAGGCCTTATTGTTGCCTCCGGGCCTTTCTCTGCCTTCGTGCAATAGGGGAGGCTGGCACCTGAGGCTTCCAAGGCCTCTTCCTCCTCTGATTAAGTGCATTAAATAAGCAGTGATTTCCTCTGATATGAAGGTCCGGGGGCAGAAATGTGATTTTTCATTAAAAGAGGAAGAAGAATTGGAAATGTTTAATGAAACCATGTCTCATGACCTTTAGTCCAAATTTTCTCCACCCAGGATCTCATATACCCAGACATTTGGGAAACTGCTGTCCTTGACAGTTAATAGTTGTAAAGTACTTAGCATTTAGCAAAATGTTTACATGCATACTGGGAATGTTGTCAGTCTGCCACAGTGATTACATGTTTGGGATTTATATAAAAACAGTTTCAGAGAATAGAAGAGGAAGAAATGATGCAGATATGACCAAAGTACTGCAAAAATAGAAACAGCTACCAATCCTCCTTAAAAATATCAGTGCAAAGTCTATTAACAGATAAGTCTAGAGTGCTATTGAATATACTACACCAGTAACATGAGAATATAATCAGGAATATAGCCATAGTCCAACGCTAGGAAATACACCTTAAGAAAATTCACCATATAAATAGAATTTGTGAAAGAGATTATGTTATAGTCTCAGAATATCCTCCCAATAATTTAATATCCACTCTTGGCTTTTTGAATCCTTAGTAAAATAGGAATAGATGAATACCTTCCTAACTAGAGGCATTTTACCTCCCAAGTCATCTTTATTGATGTAAAACTGAAAGTCTTGCCATTAATGTCAGGAGTAAGATAAGAACATGCACATCGACCGTGTTAATCAACTAGAATTGGAAAAAAATAGCAAGAGATACTTCATTTTAAAAAATGATGTTGAAATTTGTATCTTTATGTAATTACACCTAGAAAACAAGAAATTACTGCAGAGCCAGAGGTTTAGCTCATTGGTACAAGTGCCTGTTAGTCAAGTGCCAGGTCGTGAGTTCAATCCCCGGTACAAAAAACAAAGCCCAAAAAAACAACACTGCAGGGCCATGGCAAAACAGAAGAAATATATAGTTAGTAGTTGGATACAAATTATTATTTTAAAAAATCAGTCACCACTGTATATAAAACAGAAACTTTTTAAAAACATAATGAAAGAAATTTTTTATTAATAAAAGTAACATGGATAAAACACTGAGAAATAAACAAGAAATCTGCAAGATTTTAAAGTTTAAAGAGAGCAAAATTCAAAAACTCTATAAAGAAGAAAACTTTAGCCAGCTGTGGTGATATACTCCTGTAACCTGAGCACACAGGAGGTTGAAGCAGGAGGATCACTGCTGTTCAAGGCCGGCCTGGGCTACAGAGAGAACTCAAGGCCAGCCTGAACTACACAGTGAAAACCTGTCTCAAAAAAAAAAAAAAAAAAAAAAAAAAAAGGATTAAGAAAGAAAACTTTAGGGGCTGGGCATTTAGCTCAGCGGCATAAACGCCTGCCTTGAAAGCAGGCAGTCGTGAGTTCGATCCCCGGTACCGATAAAAAGGAAAAAGACCCACACACAAAAAAAGGAAGAAAACTTTAAAATGTTAATGAAAGCTGTAACTTTTTTTTACATAAATTAAAAACTAGAAACATCCAAATTTTGATAGGTGAAAAATAGAGAGGAATAAGTCCTACCAATATTAAAACATAATATAAAGGAACAATTGTTAATGTAGTATAGTGCAGCTTCTTGAATAGGCGGTCAGAGATTAACTGAGTGAAGTCTAGAAATAAACCTAATTGAAGTAGTCCACTTTATCCATAGATTCATTTTCCATTGGTTTCAGTTATGGTCAGTTATGATCTGAAAATAGTAAATGAAAAATTCCAGAAGTAAAACAGAAAATCATATTCACACAAAATTATATATGGAAATGGTGCAGTTTTAAAAGTCCTTTTGGCTGTTTTTGTTTTTGTTTTTGTCTTTTTGAGACAGGGTCTCACTAGTCAGTTCAGACTGGCCTTCAGCTCTCTTTGTACCCCAGTCTGGTCTCAAACTTGCAATTATCCTCCTGCCTCAGCCTCCTGAGTGCTAGGATTACAGGCTGCAAACCACCACAACCAGCTCTCCTTTTTCTTTTAACCTTGAGGAAAAATACAGATTATTCCATAGAGAAAAACTTCCAAAGGAGTTGAAAAAAATAATAAATTCCTACTTTATATCTTACTTGAAAATTTACTCTTTTTTTTTCAAATTTTTTTTCTTTTTTTCTTATCGGTACCGGGGATCAAACTCACGACTGCCTGCTTGCAAGGCAGGTGCTTATGCCGCTGAGCTAAATCCCCAGCCCTGAAAATTTATTCTTGATGGCTTAAATATAGGTAGGAATATTAAATTGTAAAATCTATCAGTGATAAAAGACTTCCTAGCATTGACCAAAAGAAAGGGACCTAGAGGACCACGAATCTAAAAACTGAAGATTTGATTACACATAAAAAATCTGCCTAGAAAAAAAGTCAAAAGACAAATGGCAAGGCTGAGGATGTAGTGGAGTAAATACAGTGTTTACCTCACATGTGAGCGCCTGGGTCCAACCTCAGTATCACACACACATGACACACATACCCACACGCTGAGGGCAAACTGAGAGGAAACTACATAGTACCTGAGAGTGCACAGTTAATGCTTAAAAAAGAAAATGACCTCCTACAATAAGTATGAACATATCTCTAAACAAACAGATTTGAATAAACATAATTATAGCTTTTTAAATGTGTACAATATGCACTCAAAATAAAATATTGGCAATAAAAATTTTTAAAGTATATGTTTTTACTTGTGTGTTGGGAGGATAATTTTAAAAATTATTTTTTATTATAGTGTTAATTGGAATAACCTTTACAGAAAGCAATGTGTATCAAAATTCAAAACTTGAAGAGTAGTTTCAAATTCAACTTGAAGAGTAGTTTCCCTATGAGGAAGTTGCCCTTTGTGTCTATGTTCTTCAAAATAAGGATATTCATTGTGGCAATATTTTTCGTATTTGAAGACTAGAAAAATCCTCATTTTAAAACGTGTCCATTTAAAAGGGCTACTTTAAAATGGGATCCTAAGCGAGCTGCACAGCACTATCGTAGGCCACCATGTGTGTGAAGACAGGGAGTCTGTGTTTGTCCTCTTTCTAAAATCCATAGGCTGCCTCTCAGAAGCTGTGTCATCGACTGGTAAGAGTGGCTGCATCAAGTGGAAACGCAGGGACAAGTTGGTCTGGGGAACACGGGCGCTTCTTCCGTTTATACCACTTGGTGCATTTTAAGTATTGCATACCATGTGCATGTATTTCTGGTCCCGATAATTGTACACATAAAACTTAAGGAAATATAACAGCAAGTAAACAATGGAAAAGGGGAGTTTTCACTTACATAGGAGGACTTTACAATTAGATAGAACTTGATTGAAATGCTAACTATATAGCACTAGCCGAAAGTGCAACGTGAAGGGAAGTTTATTTCTCTCGTAAACTTCAATTTCTGTTACTGAAAACTGTTACTGGATATAGTTGATAAGAAAATTAAATGATATTTATAAACAACCAGGTGATGTCAGGCGAATGTGAAGCATCCAATATAAAGAGCAGTTCCCATTATTGTTTTGTCATCTAAAGCTCGCAAACTCTCATGAGGCAAGGAGCAAAGCCTGGGTGGTGGTGACCCCGTTTTACAAGTGAGAAAAGCAGGGTTTTATTCAGTAGATCTGAAACTTGGGCTCTCCTTTTCTTCTACTCACATAAACCCAGAACAAAAATAAAATTGTGAAAAAGTAATGTCTCCTAGTTTGAAGCAACAACTCAATCCATGATTAGACAATATGCGTTGCAAACTTCCCTTTTGCAACTATTAATTACTCACACTGGCCATAATATTGCTTTTCTACCAGAGAAACTTATTACTAGGTGAAGGCTGCTGTATGATTGTACACGTGAAACAGCTTTACTTTGAGACAGTCACTCACCAGGCAAGCATGAAGGTGCTCAATCCACTAAACTTTAACAGTATTCAAGTTGTTTATTAAAGAGAAATATAGAGACAAACACTCTTCATTTCTTGGTTCCAGGGAACTACTGTATTACCATTGTTGTCTTCAGTCTTGTTGGATTGCCAGGAGTTTCCCAATCCAGAGAAATTTGACCCGGGACACTTTCTGGATGAAAATGGCTGTTTCAAGAAAACAGACTACTTTGTGCCTTTTTCCTTGGGTAAATGCAAAGTATTCTATCTGAACCACATGCAAGCACATTCTTGGCAATGTTTAGCTTTCATTAAATTTATAGTATAAGTAAGTAATCCTCTGATGATAGCAAAGTTAGTCAGACTGTTACAACCTCCTAAATCTTGATGAAGCCATTACAATCTGCACACCAAAAAAGAATCAGGGAAGTAACCCAGGGACGATTTTATTGTTTGGTAATGCCAGTTTTTTAAGAAGTCAAAGCAAGTTAAATTCAGATGTCATGCATTCATTACCTATGACAAAGGGACATGCTTTTGGAGACTTCTCTCCTGATTTCTCCCTTTATAACACTGACTTTGTTTTTAACTGTTCACTCTTACTGCTTTTCTGATTCTTAAAGGCAAAGTTCATCAAAGAATTATGATCATGTACATCTTCCTTCTCCAAAATTCAGACTCCTACATATTCTTGCCTAAGAACTGTTTGGCTCTTAATTACTGTCTCTCATAAGGCCATAAGGACAACTTAGGAATAATCAGCATGTGTTCTTTTCTCCTTATTATCCTATCTAATCCTTTGTAGTATTTTCAAAAGTAAAATGAAATGTTTTATTTCTAGCAAAGTTGATAAAAAGTGTTCAACATAAAAATGGTCAATGCAGAAGAGCAAAAAACAGGAAAATAAATATTTGTAACTTCACATTATGGGGGTGTCACTTAATATTTTATAAAATATGCTCCACATGTCTATGTATATGCAATGTATATTTTTAAAATGAAAGTTTGTTCATTCTGTGCAATCTGTTAATAACCAGCTTTCACTTTGTGTATTATGATAAAAGCCTACAGCAGTGGTGGTGAATGAGCCACACTGGGCTGTTTGTATCACTGAGAGCTCTAAAGATTCACCATCACTGATTTATAGTGTTAGGTCAACTTTCATGTACAAGCGTAGGATGCACCGTGTGTTACATGAACAGTGATTTATTTTAGCAGTCTTATAGATAGATAACTAGGTTTTGTCCAGGTCATAGCATCACAAATAACAATGCACCTAATACATCCTCACAGGAGGATTTCTAGTTCTCACAAATAAATTCCCAGAAGAATTACTGAACAGTGAGAAGTTCTTTAGAGCATTTTGATATGTATTGACAATTAATCCTTTCAAAATAGAGTACCGATTTATCTACAAGCAGTTTACTAAGTGTTCCACTTCCGCTCAGTGTTTTCAATGACTTTTGGAGCAAGAAGAGCTAATGCCAGTGCTTCTTCCTTCTAGGAAAACGGGCCTGTGCTGGAGAGAGTTTGGCCCGTATGGAGTTGTTCCTGTTTATCACCAGCATTCTGCAAAACTTCTCCCTGAAGTCCTTGGTGGAACCAAAGGAAATAGATACCAAACCCATTACTACTGGGTTTATCAATATCCCACCACCCTATAAGCTCTGTCTGATACCGAGATAAAAGAATTTACTTCTTTTAGCCATTCCAATCAAAGTAATTGTTTTCCATTTCCTCTAAATTCCCCACTTTGAATACTGCTACCATACTAGGACAGAAACCCTTTCTCAGTAAAATTAGATGAATATTTGTTTCAATCTACAAATTGCTTGTTAACAGAAAGGGCTGGGTCTTGAAAACTCCAAAAGGGCAAGCCATGGGGGTTCCACGAAGAGAAACGCCAGATAGCACCTCCCTGAGCCTACCTGCAGGAACTCTGAGAATCAGGCACCCCTCTGCCCCAAGCAACTGGCTGGAGGACAGGCTGAGTTGATAGTAGCTAAGGTACAAAGAGCAACTGAATGCTTGTATTGTTTGATTGACTTTGCAGGCCTGGGACCAGTGGTCTGAGCATCTCTTGGGAGGGTGACAGTGTGCAGCATAGCAGATATAGGGGATTTCCCTCTGCTTTGCCTTTGAAGTCCAATAGTGTTCTCACTGTTTTGCTTTGTTCTGATTGTTTTGCTTTGTTGGATATTCTGCTTTGATTGGTTTTATTTTGTTTTGTTCTTGGTTTGATTTTGCTATGCTTGAGGGAATGGACAATTATTGTGAAGATAGTAAGATGTTCTATGGTAGCTGTTGTTTTCCTAGTATCCTGCTTTGAAGTTCTGTACCAGTTTTGATTGGCTGTGTTCTGTTTTGTTGGATTTTATTATCTTTAAAATAAAATATTTTCAAAAAGAAAGCTACAAAAGGGCAACCAATATGTTTATAACCTGTAGAGTACTACATAAACCATGCTCAAGGAGAACCCAGACCAGGCCTTCAGAAAGCTTTCATTAGAGATTATCAATAAACAGAGCCTTCACTCTTTTGGTGGATTTGGAAATAAAGTAATTGTCATTTTTGAAATAGATTAATATAGTGGACTATGTAAACCTATTTCCATTTTAAAGCCCTTATATGATTTTTGTCACATTCATAAAATAAATCTTTACTGTTGCAATACATTTCCTTTGTATATGTGATTTTATTTCAAGTCTCAAAAATCCCTCTTATTGAGCTATAGGCAATTTAACAGGATATAATAAATGCATAAAATTCAATGATAATCCCTATTACAAATCTTTCTTTTCTCTACCCTATGTCTTTGCAACTATTGATACAGGAGAATGAAACTCCTGACCTACTATGTCTATGAATTCGTGTTCTCTAAAATCAAAGAATGAATTTTAGGAACAATGGAGGTTAAAAGCAGAATATATTTTTTGAAAGAAAGGAAGCTTCTGCCTGAGAGTGAGACAGGAAGGGGTCCTGAATGGATTGCCAAGGACTCTGTCTTTTCCAGGGACTTTTACAGACAAAATCAAGGGGAGAGACGGGTTCAAGGTGGGGGAGGGGGAATGGAACTCACAAGGCAGTTGGGCATAAGGTGGGACATAACATAACATAGTTAGCCAATAAGATTAGTAGTTCAGCTAAAAATTGATTAAATTTGGGACAAATGAGGAACAGCAGTGACTTTTCCCTAGGGGGTTGGAATGATGATTCCTGACTTCCTCAAGGTGATAAGGAACTATTTTTTTTTATTTAAGGAGAAAAGAAAAAAAAAAACAGTGAAAGGGTACAAGTTATACAGATTTACAGAAGAAAAAAATGAACAGTAAGAAATCACTAGTTAATGGATTACATATTGCCATCTTAGAAATAATTGTTCCAGTCACAAAATTAAAGCTTGTAGAGTGGACATTCCAACAATGATACTGCAAACAGTTCTGTTCAATGATCCAATAAAACTCTGTGATATCATTTTCTATCTTATACACTTAAATATACATGCAGTTATATAGTTTAGAGCACTTTCTTTTCCTCTCTTTTGTACAATGACTATTATACATTTTGGGTTTCATTGCTCCCACGATTCTTATTGCTTTTTTGGAAGAGAGTAAAACCAAATGAGATATAACAGAACAGAATCGGTCAAGTCAAAAGGGTGGACATAATAGATAATATAAAAACATAATACAAGGTGATCAACAATGGTTACCATAATGCCTCCCGCTATCTCTAATAGAATTGCCTATATCATTAGTTATAATACAATTGAACAAAATAGTAAAGAACAAAACCGACAAAACCAAAACATTGGAGACATTGTAGGTCTTCAAAAGTAGATAAAAGTCAACGAGAATGGGCGTTATAATGAATCTCATTATCTTCTCAGCTGATGCCTAAACTTTCGAACCTGATACTATCCAGCAAAACAGAATAGGGGAACATCAGTCAAAAACAAGATGGTGAGAGTAATACAGGGCTTCAAATTGAGATAATAGAAAGTCAAAGTGGGTTACTATATTATATCCTGCTCTTTTTTCCCTTTAAGTAAACGGATAAAAATAAAAAAGTAAATAATGGAGTGGAGATTGAGAAAAAAGAGGGCATAACAGCAAAACAGCGCAGATCAAAACATAACCATTTAAGCAAAATAGTGTTTCACCACCAGATAATTCCGACCCAAAAGTAGTTACCATATTGACTCTTTCCTTGAAGTGCTTGAGTACAACTTCGTATACTGTAGCATTAAGTATATCAAAACAATGTAAAACCATATAAGAGAATGACAGCATTACAGAGTATTTAGAATCGACTAACAGAAAATGAACAATGGTTTCTGTATAATCTCCTTGTCTTTAAAAGGTTTTTGCTTATACTATCGTACATAATAAAATCCAATAAGATATAACCTGTTTAGACCATTGGAGACAGAAGAACAAAAGCTAGATGAGACTTCAAAACAAGATGATACTAAATCAGTATTACCTATTAAGACGTCATTTTCTCTAAAATAGCTGTTCCTATCATCCAATATTCTCTGTCTCATTTCTATTGAGCTCTTTTTCTGTCAGTAGCTGTCAGTTTTGCCCTCCAGCTCAGATAGTCTGTCCTTAGTTTCTTTCAAGCTGTTATGCCAGTCTTGGATAGACTTCTTAATTTCTTGATAGTCCCTTTAAACCGGCTTCACGTACTCTATGCTTTCTCTGTTTTCTCCATCAAACAATTCTCCCCTCTTTTTCTGTTCTTCCATTCCACCATCTGTTTTTTCCTGGGTGGTGCTTAGCATTTCTCTAACTATTCTGCATACTTCTAGCTTCAGGTCGTTGATAACTTCATTCCTGAATTGGTCTATGAGGCTCTCTATATGGCGCTTAATGTCTATTGGTGCGGTTTCTGCTATTGCCTGTTTCTCAGAATTGGGGGCCGAGGAGCCTTTCTTGTTGCTTCCCTTCCCCATATTCTCTGTTCCTTATAAAATGCAAGCTTACATAGGAGGCCCAGATTCCCTGCCTGTCAGCCACAGCCTGATCAAATTGCGCTGGCTAGGTGTTCCTGCCCACCGCTGCACACCAGGGAGTTACGGACTAGGCAGCCTACGCGGCAGTCACCCCTCCGGGCCACCGTCAGGCTCTGGGATCTGGGTTAGGCCAGCCTACCAAGTCCACCCGCAGCGTCACGCAGGCCAGGCACTTTTCACCAATCCCGTCTGAGAGGGGAATGTGTGGCTGGAGTTGCCACCGTGCCCTGCTCTTATAGGACTGCCCGAGGCCAGAAAGTCCTCCACTGGAGTCAAACTGTGGTAGAGTGTCAGTTTCTCTCACTCACCTCGCCACCAGTCAGTGTACGCCTCCTTGTCCGTCCTGTTTTCGACTCCGTTCGTAGACTCCCGTTCCCAGAGCTTCTGCGCGTCTCTCCTTGCCGAGCCGCTGTGGAGGCAGCCAGCCGCCGAGCGGCGGGAAACCCAAATCGCGGTTTCCAATGGCGCGGGGTCCAGCCTCCACACCGAGTCTTTTCTGTTCCTATTTTAGCGCCAGGACTGCATTCCAAGTTGGTTTCTCTCAGCCCAGTTCGTTCCTGAGTCAGCAGAGCATATCTCTACCAGCTCATGTCTCCTTAGTCCGCATCATTCCTGATTTCTGAGTCGAGCCTTTCAGAGAGCCTCCGGTAGTTGCTGTTATCTATCCGCCATGTTCTCCCGGCGATAAGGAACTATTTAGAATATCAGTCCTTAGGATGTGGATGCATTTGTTTGATCTTTTGTTTTGAGGCCTGGCCCACAGCAGTAGGTGTCTGTCTCTATCACAGTTGCAAGGTATCTGGGCTTTTGCACTGGCTCTTTGAGGACCTAGCCCAGTCTCACTGCCTATAATATTTCTAACTAAGTCAGATGCCTGCAACATTTCCCCCTCTGAAGAAGTAATGTGAACTTCCATGAGGGGCTAATGGGTGATGACCAATTGAGCTGCTTCAGGCTGAAGAGGGTTACAGTGGTTGAATGGCAGTCAGGGGTAATTCTGCAGAGATCCTGTCTACAGGCCCTCACTATACACCCGGCATTTTCATCTTGGGTGTGCACACAACTTTAAGTCTGGAGGAAACAAACCCAAAGAAACAGTTAAGTATGTATGGGCCTTAGAGTAAAATCAAGAAGACAATTAAGTGTATAGTCAACAAAGATTTGTACCAAGAGGAATTAGAACTAGAATTAATTGGACTTCCAGGAGAACATGGCAGATAGATAACAGCAGCTATGTAGGCTCTCTGAGATAGCCAGCTTAGAATCCAGGAATGGTGCAGTGTGAGGAGACCTAAGCAAGGGGAGATATACCCTGCTGACCCAGGAATGAACTAAGCTGAGAGAAACCAACTGGAAATGCAATCCCGATGCTATGACCGGAACAGATAAAATCTCAGCACTGAAGCTGGAACCCTCGCCTTTGGAAACCACAATTTGAATTTCCTGCCACTGCGACTGCATCTGAATTGGCACAGCAGGGATTGAGATGTGAAAGCTCAGCAGAATCGGCGAACCGAATTGAGAGCAGAACTGGCGGGGAGCCCTACATCGACTTGTGGTGAGTGAGAGGAAGGGGACCCTAGCATAGGCTAGGAGTCTCCAACAGAGGACATTCTGGGACCGGGCAGACTAGCTGGAATGGGACGCTGCAGTGACCTTAGTCGCATATTCTCTTCTCAAGTGGGTTTGGTGGGGAGCGCTTGGCCTGGGTGACACCACGAACTAAGACCCAGTAGGCTAGCCAAACCAGATCCCAGCGCCTGGCAGTGCACCCTAGCAGTGAAGCCTTAAGTAGGTTGACCTGGAGGGGTGGGCCCAGTGTACACTGCCCTGGTCTGTGTCTCCCTAGTGCACTGCAGTGGGTGGGAACACCTAGCCGGTGGATTCAAACAAACTGTAACCCACAAAGAAAGAAACTGGACCTCCTCTATATGCCTGTATGGAAGGAACAAAAAATATGAGAAGAGGAGGCAACATGAAAGAGTCCTTGGTCCCCAATCCTGAGAACACTGACCCAGGAAAGGTAAATACAAAGGAGAATGAGGACAGAAAACATGCAATATCAGATACGGCACCAATAGACATAAAGCGCTATCTCCAGAGCCTCATAGATGAGTTCAAAAGTGAAGTATTTAACGACCTAAAGCAAGATATAAGTAGAATAGTTAGAGAAAGGTTAAACACCACCCAAGAAAAAACAGATGGTGGAATGGAAGAACAGAAAAAAAGGGGAAAATTGCTTGATGGAGAAAATAGAGAAAACACAGAATACATGAAGCAGGTTCAAAGAGATTACCAGGAAACTAAAACTATTGAAAGCTGGCATAACAGCTTGAAAGAAACTAAGAATGGATTATCTGAACTGGAGGAGAGATTTGTAATGTGGGAGCATGAAATGAAAAACTTCTTAAAAGTAACAAGGAAACAAACAGCAATAATACAAAGGCTAGAAGTTGATAAGAGGCTCTATAACTTAAGAATTAAGAATGTAAAGGAAGAAGTAGGGACACAAACAAATAAACTACAAAGGCTATTCACAGGAGAATTTCCAGGAGAATTTCCCTAATTTAGCAAAAGGTAAAGATACTCAGATGTATGAGGCATACAGGACCCCAGCCACCTACAACCCAAACAGAACTACACCCAGGCATATAATAT